CTTTAGCGAAATTCCTCAGCATTTCATGTGTAGGATAAAGGCCACGATCAGTAAGCTTATTAATCCATTTTATAAGCTCTTTGGATTGTTGGTTGTTGAGAACTCGCTGACTTTCATATTGGTCTTCTTGTGACCCTTGTACGCCACGGTGCCGTTTCGATAGTGTAGGTCGGCTTACACCAAACTTTTCAGCAATTTTAGTATAATTTATCTTCTCTCCTGGCTCCAACGAGTCGATATAGCCTAAAGCCGCTTCAATTGAGCTCATGATGAAAGAGTTGTAGTGATTTGAAATCTATGCCTAAAAGTCGGTGTATAGAAAAAACGTTCGTCAGGTGGGACCGTTCGTCAGGTGATCACCTACGGTATTAGAGATACCCAAAATTAACAGTAGTGTCAACCGAAATTACCACTAAAGCTCCACTATCAGCCACCACCCTACTCTATTTAGAATAGCGCCTCGATTACTACTTTAGGCCATGATCATCATTTATCATCATCCTGTATCATCCTGTATCATTATGATACCGCATGATTTAGTGATCATCTCAAAGCCTATATATATCGCTCATTTTACCACTAGATCAGGAATCAGACCTCATCAATTGATCATTTGCACTCATTAGAATTCAGCGGTAGATTACTAGGTAATACGGAATCCCGCATTTCCAATAAGTAGTCAGTTGGTATCGAACATTGGCAACAATGAAAGCCTGAAAGTAAGGTAGGAAAAGGTCTCCGTCACAATTGACCATGCAGATGGCTCTAATCGCTTCTTCAATAAGGTGGCCGTGGAGCTATAAGAAGGCTGCTCAGTCACTGCATCCTCAATGGAATATGTCTAGACAGGACGTGTGTTAGACTCCATATGCAGGGCCCTTTGGATTGGTTAGCGGTACTGTCAAACTAACTAATCAATGTGTCAAACGAAAAATTTTTGTATCGAAAAGGGACACATCAGTGTGGAACTTCCGCAATAAGAATGTTCCATTCACCATCCTTTGTATATAATTCCATGTATCACCCAACACAGAGGCCTAACCTCAGCATTGTGTTCTTTCCCCTACCAATTTATTCTTATCCGCAACGTCATGTCAATAGATAACCTATGGATCTCGAGGTGCTGTATACAGATTCGACGCCTTTAGGGAAGATACTACCCAGTACGACCATGCTGATGGTGAGTTGGACCAGTATTGATTAGGATAACCCTGCCTCTTTGAACAACTCAATTTACCTAAACCGTCATCTTATCGAACGGCAAATGAGGTCCGCCGAGAGAGTCGGGAGAGAGCGGCCAAAGTCTTGTCAACTTGGGAACCTTTGAGCAAGGCCATTGAGCGTCATGAAGAACGGATCCAGAAACGGTGGCGCCAAAAGTCTCAACCCAAACGTCGTCAGATTATTTTAATGGCGTGGCCAAATATGTCCAAGGTACGTCTACCTGATTTCGACGCGTTCAAAAAGGTAATACGGGAGCAGGCTCGAGAGGCATATTTATGGCCTTACGTTAACCTCGAGGACCTGGAACGGCCAAGGTCATTGCTTCTGTTCCCTAATACCCGGGCCCGGCAACCGCCACATTGCTTTGCCCATGCTGATTTCAATGCTCCCCATTTAGGCCACGGCTCAGTTGTCGTAAACAACTGGCTCACCGTCACTTTTTATTTTAGTGGAGCTTTCTAGTATAGGCGCTCTGCCCCCTATCTACTTGATCTATCCCATGATCAATGAGGTGGCCTGCCATTTAGGGCTACAATATATGAAGATATTGGAAGAACTCTGAAGGCAAGTAGCAGCTAGGAAGGTACCCACAGCTGTACCTATTCATTAGTCTACTTGGGACACCTTCGTACTATAGATCATTTATGTCTATATACCTTAGGCAACTCGGAGGTCTGAACATACAAGTCCCATGTAACTATAAAATTTGGCATCCTGCGCGTCCCTCTCCGTTACCGCTAATTGTTCTAGCAGGTCGGTCCTGATATCATATACAAACTCCGCCATCTGCCCCGGCGTATGGTGTGCCTCATTATAAACAAGCCGCAGCGTCAATCGATCGCGAAAGGTCCACACAAAGACAACGCCCTGGCGCGTCAGCATCTAGACGCCCACCCCAGCATGACTGATCTCGAACCCCCGCTCCAGGGTTATATACTCGCGCGCAAGGTGCTTTTCCATGATGCCCGTGCTGCTAATGTCGATGTTGCTGGGTGGCTCCACTGGCGTTGGAAGGTTCCGAATCACTTCAACCAAGCATGCCGCATACTGACGGTGTGCCTGAAGGTAGTCTGCGCTGGCCCCTTCTGATACTCTGCCTGATACATACGGGCATGTTCCTCCCACGTGCCGGAGGCTCAGCCTGTGCCAACCAGCCTGAGGTATACAAGCCTACCGCAGCAGCGGGGAAAGAATATGGCTCCGGCAGGCACGGCCACAGAGACTGCTTGATGGTGCTAGTGTAGTGGCACTTGGTGCTTCAGGATTGCCTGCCGGAAGTTGACCGCGGCCAGAGTCGCATGCACGGCTGCTGTGATGCTGATGTTTCTTGCCTCGGCGGCGGCGACAACGCTGACGGTGGTTGCGCGCGAGAAGATCAGCTCAGCGGCCCGGGTGCCTGCGGGAGGGGTGGAGGCATCCCCGCTATAGGGCACCCCGATGGCCCCGGCTGTTAGCACGAAAGTCCCCACAGCTCCATGGGCGATGCGTTTCTGCTCCTCAGTCACGGTGACCGGCATATTTCCGGCTTCCTCGACGGCAGACGCCAACTGGTCGACCACCCATCCCCAGTGGAATGAGTCGAATGGGTCTGGCAGTTGGCTGGAAAGGAGGGTGCCCGCGTGCGAAACCATCAGTTCAACGAGTTAGTCCAGAAGCAGCAGGCCGCCGACTCCGTCTATGCGCCAATGTGCGGTTTGCAGTAGTAGCTGACTCGCCTGAGGGATGTAGTAAAGCTGGGCGTAGGGAGTAGGTGTAATCGTGGGAATTAGCACATCAGCACAATCAGCACCAACCATGACTATGAAGGCTTGAGAGATCCATGCTTGAAGAGCATCTGACGAGGCGGGAACGGTGTAGACGACGTTCGAGTTGGAGGCATCCGGATGCGCGGCCAGACTCGGGCGCTGGAAGGCAGATGCGACCAAGCGTAGCAGATGAGTTTTGGCAGGAGATCGGACGAACGAAACAGCTTTGAACGTCCCAGAAGGACTGATCGCTGCTGTGTAGTTGACAGTCCAGTGTTCACGGGCGAAGGGATGGCCAGGGTCACTGACCAGTTTGATGAAAGCCTCATTAGTGCCAAAGGGCCGGGTGAATGTGTTGGACGTGGTCTCAGCTGGCGTTCATGGCATGGTGAGAGGTGTTGACGATCGATGGCTAGATATGATCATGAATACTATGTTATTATTTTGAGGGCCAAATTTATAGTCAAAGTAGGTGCCGGTAATGAGGTCAGATATAAGCATAGTTGCACTATTGGTCCTAAATCTCTGTCTAATGATGCCCTTCACCTTCAAGGAGCGTTCCTGATATTAGTATAAGATATGTTACATAGTATATACATCACTCCATAGTTTCAGGACTTACAGCGGTGTAGGTAGAACTTTGGTAGCGCTTATTATTCAAGGGCGCGTATTCTTTAGTGGAAATAAAAGAAAATGGAGTGGAAATACTACTATTAGTCATGGGCATGATATCTAAGGCAATATGGCCTACCTTGCGCTGTATTATTTTGTTCACCTGTCTTAATATTGTTGAGATGATCTGTGTTTCCTAACTTTTCTACCCTAGAGATCGAGTACTTTTTCTAGTCCTTGCAAGGGAAATTTCAGCATCACTTAGTGTCACAGGCTGACTGACAAAAGTCGGGCCTCGGTAGAAAGATCCGGTCGTTGATGACAGATTAGTATTTGATCTTCTGCTCAGTTGGACTATGGTCGGGATAGCAGCTTAAAAAGCCTGCAACTATTATCTCAGCTCCCTTCCTTACCTGTTGCTCTAAAAACATTCGCGATGAGTAATACCGAGTTAGGGACCATCCCGTCGCCGCAGTCAGTGACAACACCTTCAGCGTTTGAGGGCTGTGAAAGAGAATCACCACGGCTGCAGGATGTAGAGGGCGATGGCAGGCGAACAGAACAAGAGCTTGCACCCGTAGACGGAGGATCTGCTGCTTGGAGGCTGCTCTGCGCTGCCTTTATGTTTGAGACATTATTATGGGGTAAACTCATATACATGGACCGAATTCGATGAGGCTGATAGTATGGGATATAGGCTTCCCCCTTTCTTTTGGTGTCTTTCAAGAATACTATTCCAAAATCCCAGAGTTTGCCAACAATCGCTATATTTCCGTGGTGGGTACCATAGCTTCTGGATTCGGTTATCTCGGAGCACCAGTCATCATGCCTTTTATCCAGCGCTATCAGCGCTGGCGGCGGCATATGGTTTGCGTCGGCTGTATGTCTCATAATTTACTAGGATGTCGGGACATAAACTTGCTGACCTGTTTCCCAGGGCCGATTTGCATTGCAGGACTCATCTTAGGATCCTTTGCATCCACGTTAGAAGTGCTCATCCTGACACAAGGTGTGGCTTATGGTCTTGGATTCCTCATATTCTACTACCCCATACTCAGCATGGTAAATGAATACTGGATCGCCCGTCGTGGCATGGCGTACGGTATTCTTTGCGGTGCCTCCGGTGTCTCCGGGTGCATTATGCCCTTCGTGCTGCAAGCACTGTTGGCAAAGTACGGATACAAAACGACCCTTCGCGCTATGGCTGTGGCTCTCGCGTCACTCACGGGACCGTTAATTCCTCTCTTGAAGGGTCGTTTGCCACCTTCAGAGCGAGCCACTATTCCCAAATTTAACTGGTCCTTTTTTCGGAGTCCTCTATTCTGGGTCTACTCCGTATCAAACCTACTGCAAGGATTCGGGTACTTTTTCCCTTCTTTGTACCTACCCTCTTATGCATCGTCCCTAGGGCTCGGCGGCAAGACCGGTGCACTTCTCCTCGCGTTGATGAGCGTTTTTCAAGTCGGCGGTCAGTTTATCTTTGGTCTGCTGTCGGATCACAAAGTACCACTTAACGTTTTGGCGTGCTTGTCAACCGTAGTTGCGGCAATAGCTTGTCTGACTATGTGGAGACTAGCTCAGTCGCTCTCAGTCTTGATCGTCTTTGCCATTGTGTATGGGTTCTTTGGCGCAGGATTTACGGCCATCTGGGCGAGGATGAGCAGTGCCATAACCGACGATGTGACAGCAGCACCGATTGTTTTCAGCTTGCTTAACTTCGGGAAAGGTATCGGAAACGTGCTTGCTGGACCGGTTGGTGGCCTTCTCGTTTCCAGCGGAAAGCCGAGTGCAGCTTCTGCGTCATTGTCCTATCGTTGGGTTATCGTTTTTACCGGAGTGTGCATGTTCGTGAGCGCTTGTACCATCTGCTTGAGATATACAAAGTACCTTAGCACTTTCGCTGTTCGGTAAGAACGGAATGGTGACAAGCAGCATGGCGGTTGACGTTGACTTTGTGTGACGAGCTGAGACATTGCTGAAAAAGTTGATATTCTTCGTGTCCTATATTACCATATGCAAATACTGTAGCATGGAATCTCTACTACAAAGACAGACAACGCTATAAACTCTTCAATACTCCCTAGGCGTTAAATAGGCTGTCTATATATCTGGTTGTGGCTAAGCAAAGTTCAATGACAGTACTAAAGGTGAAAGAACTCATCAAAAGCTATCGTACTTTGACTATGAAAAGTTTAAAAGGTAGACAGTCTACATCTGCACGCTGGCCTGAGGCAAATGGCTATCGTTCAAAGGCTGAGCCAACATTGGACATAGAGAGTCCGAACCCCCCCCTAATAAGGAATTCATAGTTACTTTCGACCAGAAATGAATGTACAGAGTCCATCACGCTGATATGATAGCTAGAGACGAGCTGAAATATGACCATATAAATAATCCGGATAGATGAATGTCCCTCTGAATGCTCGCTAGTCTGTACGTTCCTTGTAGTAGCACTATCATTAGTCAAGTGTTGCCCTGGTAAGTCTACTTGTGGCTTATTTCAGTGCATATTAGACCTGTTGCTAACTACTGATTATTCTCAGCAGCCAGTACACTTTTCAATTCCCCCAAGATCTTCCTCTTCGTGTCCTCGTCAGCCCAGCTCATCTCAACCGCATTCCGCACCAGTTTGCCCATATCCGATTTAGTAAAACCGCAATACCTGTACGCCTTCATCATATTCCCATCAATCCAAACATCATGCATGTATGTCGGATCATCACTATTAATACAGAACCGAACACCCTCATCCCACAACTTCCTAATCTTAGGAAAAAGGACCTCCGTAGCCTGTCTGCGATGGTACGCATGCGGACAAAGCGTCAGCCCGATATTCCTAGCTTTCAATTCCGATATCAACTCGGGAGAATCAATAGCGTTAAGACCATGATCGATCCGATCCGCGCCCGCACCCGCACAAACGTCGAAGACTCCCTCGCGCATATGCTCAACCACATCCTTTTGGTCAACATCACAATGCATAGTCACATGTAAACCAATCTCCTTCGCAAGCCGAAACCCTTCTTCGAAGAGCCCGGGAGGTCGATCGTACTCGTTGCTCGCCAGTCCGACTGCATGGAACAATCCCTTGCCCTTCCCGTCTTTTGTCCGGGCCCACGGCAACGCAGCACGAAGCGCCTCAAGACCCTCCTCAACCGGATGGTCGCGCAGAAGACAGAAGATCCAGTTACTCTCCACTCCTAGCTGCTTTTCCCCGTCATGCTGAGCGCGGAGAAATCCATTCATGATCGCCTCAACGGGGATGCCGCGCGGAGTATGAGCCTGGGTGTCGAAGAACGGCTCGACATAGCGTACATTCATGCTTCTTGCCTTTTCGAAGTATGACATGGCCAGCTCATAGAAATCGTCTTCTGTGCAGAGGACTCGGCAGCCCTCGTAGTAGGTTTCTAGGAATGTGGGGGCGCCATTGTCGCCATTGAGCTCGCGGCGGTGGTTGTATGTTACCTTGTATGAGTCGAGAAGGGCTTCGTAGGTGGGGTAACGGAGGGGGACATTGTTTCTATGGGCAAGCTTCCATCTCAGCGCTGGTGTGAGTGTTCCCTCGATGTGGACATGGAGCTCAACCTTGGGTAGTGTGGCGATGAAGGGGTCTATTTCGAGGCCGTTCATATTGTGCCTTGGGTTGGGTTGGGTGTAGGGTTAGGAGGTAATTTGGTCATCGGTTTTATCCCTGATGTACTGTAGCTTTCGCGAGCAGGTTTATCGTATCCTGGAGATGTTGAGCAGGGTTTTCAATACCGATTCGAGTCATTCTTATGGCGGCACTGTCCGACGTTCGGCCGCTATTTTGATAAGAAAGAAGCGAAGGATTAACACTATAGCATATCCACTCTTTAGATTCCCCGCAATATCGTTCCATTGCGGCGGAAATCCTCCGAGCCTTGTAGAATTGGGGTAAATTAATAGGAATATTTTTGTACTACGTAGGGCGGCATTTGATAAGATAATTTGACTGTTAAAACTATGACCATAAAAATCTACATTCCAATCGGTCAATTTACCGACATCACCAGCTTATCGGCTGAAACCTCCGGATCTTGATAAGAATTTGGATCAATGGCGCACCCCCCCCCCCTTCCGTAGCATTATAAAACGCCTTTCTGCTTGGTTTCCTTTTCCCCGTCTGGTTTTTGCCGTGGGAAACAATATTCTCACTTGCAAAATTAACTCTAACTGCAAGACTCGTCATGGCCTCCTCTCAAGCTGTAGAGGAGAGCAATCATGATGGCAATGCCCACATCATTGCCTCTCGAGCGCTGCGCAAGGTTGACATGCGACTCATCCCCCTCTTATTCATAACGTACATGTTCAACTTCATGGATAAGACAATCCTCTCAAGCGCTAGCGTATTTGGCCTGAGAGAGGATACGGTATGCATCCCACCTTCTCATCCCTAGCTCATGAAACCCAAGCTAAACATATCTAGCACCTCGTTGGCCAACAATACAGCTGGGTATCCAGTATGTTCTACTTCGGCTACTTCTTCTGGGAAGTACCAACAAACTACCTCATCCCGCGACTCCCCGTCGCAAAGTACATGGCCTTCAACACCTTCTTCTGGGGCGCCGTCGTCGCCCTAACAGCCGCCTGCGTCAACTACGGCGGCCTGCTCGCCGTGCGATTCCTCCTCGGCGTCGCAGAAGCAACCATCACGCCCGCCTTCATGTTCATAACAACAACATGGTACACCCGCGACGAGATCCCCTTCCGAACGGGCCTCTGGTTCTCTGGAAACTCCGTCGGCGGCCTCGTCGCCAGCCTCCTCGCCTACGGCATCGGCCACATCGACCACCCCCTCCACCCCTGGATGTGGATGTTCATCATCCTCGGCCTGGCCACCTTCCTTTGGGGCTTCGTCCTCCTCATCTTCCTCCCCGACAGCATCTCCACCGCCGCATTCCTCACCCCCGAAGAACGAGAATATATGGCCCACCGCGCCATCATCGCTGGAACAGGCCGCACCGAGAAAACAACCTGGAAATGGCCCCAGGCCATCGAATGCCTCCAGGACCCAAAAACATGGCACCTCTTCGCCATCGCCATCCTCACCCAGATCCCCAACGGCGGCACCCAAAACTTCGGCAATCTCGTCATCAAATCCTTCGGCTTCACTTCCCTGCAATCAACCCTCATCAACATCCCCTCCTCCGTCATCAGCGTCTCCACGATAACAGTAACGGGCTGGCTAGCAGGACACTACCGCCAAATGAACTGCATTCTCATTGTCTGCATCGTCTCCCTCTCCATAACAGGCAGCGCCTTAATCTACGCCCGCGCCCACCACGTCCCCCTCGGCGCCCAATTATTCGGCTACTTCCTCCTCGCCACGGGACCTGGCGCCCTCCCATTGTGCATGTCCCTCGTGCAGGCAAATTACAGGGGCGTCACGAAGAAAATGACCATGACGGCGCTTATGTTCGTGGCGTATTGCGCGGGGAATATTGCCGGTCCACAGTTGTTTCGGGCGAGTGAGGCGCCGACGTATCAGACTTCGTTTCGGGCGATCTTGATCTGCTATATTATTTCGGGAGTATTGGCGGTCTCGTTGAGGGTTTATTTGCAGGTTACTAACACGCGGAGGGATCGGATGGAGGGCGTGCAGGGGGATGCGAGTTTGGCGGGGGTGGTTGGAGGGAAGGTGGTTGAGACGACTGGGGGGAGGAAGAATGGGGTTGAGGAGCTGGTGAGGTCTGTGGATTTGCGGCCGGAGGATTATGAGGATGTTACGGATTGGGGGACTGTTGGCTTTCGGTATCGGTTGTAGGGGTTGTGAGGCTTGTTTATGCCCCCCGAGTGTATGTGATTATACTTAGTGATTAAATCTGAAGAAAGGGTTTATTTGAAGCACTCAATACAGATAGGCTAGGAAATGTAGGTAAACGATTAGTTGCAGATACATCTGAGACTACTAGGTAAACCTAGATCCCGTTCTCATATCCAGTCCCTCCCGGACGTCTAGCCACAATCACCACCTTAGGAACGGAGAGCACCGCACCATGCAGACTGTCTTGAGACGCATCCCGCACAAGCTGCCGAACCCGTTCAGGCTGGCCATGCTCGTCCCTATGCGCGATCCCAGTCGCATGTTTCTCCTTCGCCATCAGCTTCTGGCTACTAAAGGCGCGGGCAATGTCCAGCTCCTCGCCATACGACTCCAGCATCGGCTCCACGAATACGACCTGCACTAGGAATCTAAGGAGATCAAGCATCCAGTCGTACTGACAATTAGAATACGACGTGGTATTGGTCTCCTCCAGCGCGTTTGCCTTACCGGAGGTGTCGACCATCTCGGCATGGACATTTACGCAGTTGAGCTCGTCTCACAGAAGGTAACCGCCCGGTTTTAGCGGGCGGAAGAAATTGAAGATGACGCGGTCCTTGACATCGCCGGGAAGGGCTATAAGAAGAAGACGCACATGCAAAAGGTCATATTTACCGACCAGCTCACTCGGTGCGTTTTCGAAGACGTTCCATTGCCGAAGTTTTGAAGATGGGGTGTAGCCACGCTGGGGCGGGGCCTTGTTAAGGTCGATATTGAGCCCGTCGAGCTGAACGTGAGGTAATTCGAGAGCGATATCAATCAACTATAGAATCCAATAGTACACAGACTAAAATTACTAACAATAAGTCTCTGTTCCACTAGGATGCGCTAATGCAACGCATGGCCCGGTCGGCTGATGGTCAAGTGGATCATGGGGAGCTACGTAGATACTGCTTTCCCTCCCCTTGAATGTAAGGGACCTCAGTGTTTCGTCGCATAGAGATAGGTTTAAGCCTTTGCATAGACTTACGAGTCATGCACTGAGCTCTCGCGATTGACTATGTCATAACAAAAGATGGAAAGGTGGCGTCCTTCCCCATACTCCCACCACCACGCCATTGCAAAGTACCCATTTCCAGACTAAGGATATCCGGTTCCTATCGAGAGGGATAATGCACAACGTCTCAAGATTGCTCAGATAGGAGTATTGATTCTTAATCTAGTAGTTCTAAACATCCATGCTTTTTCAGCTTTAGTAAAAATAATAGTAATGGATTAATCAGTCATAAGTGAGTATGTGTTTTGATAACAGGGTCTAGTTACACGCTTAATGGCTGAACATATATCAGCTTTCACGTAGTTAGCATCCATACTTACTATATTATAACTATACGTTGTTTTCTCTCAGCCCCTATTTGCTTATAAGGCGAGCCAACTGGGATGCCGAAATAGGGAACCCCATCGGATATCATGGATGGATGATTCATTCAAGGATCTTGAAAGTTTTCACGAACTACTACTCTTCTCATCTATCAGCCTAGAACTTATATACCTGGCCTTAGGAGGGAACTACTGGTCCTCGCAGGGCTACCCCTAAATGGGATGGAACCGGCAATATGTTTCCCCACGTAAAAGAAAGGACTTGCTCCGCAGGGTCCCGACTCCCGGGGCGGATCCGCCTCGGATACGACCCTATTTCTCCGCGGTTTTGTCTTGCCGACTCCACTCACCCCGAGATCTTCTTGTCATTCGCTTTCCATTCGGATCCGGAGAGAAAAAAGGTCCGGGGGACTTCCCAGATTAGTCATTATTGAACGTAACCAACTCACTAAAAGGTTGAAAAAGGAAAAAAATAAAATAAAATAAAGTGCACAGTGAAGGATAAGGAATGCAGCAGTCGGTGCTTTCTATGCGGAAGCGCGGCAACTCTATTGAAGATCCCCTTTCTTTCAACGACAGTCTTTTCTCCCTCTTGTCTTCTTCCTCTTCCTTTCTACTCTGTATTCGTTATTCTACCATCTATATCGATTTAATTTTTCCTTTCTTTCTATCGCTGTAATTCAAAGCAACTTCAACTCAATATTTGACTCATTTTGATGGCGACGGGTAAACGGGCGCGTTCAACCTCACCCCTGGACGAGTCGGCGGAACCCAGGGGGAAAAGGGCTTCAAAAGCATGCCAAGTGTGCCAGTCGCGAAAGATTCGTTGTGATGCCATGCGAACAGGCATCCCTTGCACGAATTGTAAATGGTATGGGCATGAATGCGTGGTTCCTGAAGGCAAACGGGGAGAAAGGCACAACAGGGTCTGGAACACTTCACTGGTACCAAGATCTACAATTCCAGCGGAGCCTCTGGTACGCCCTGAAAACCAAACCACCGCCGACTCATCATCCACCTCAGCTATCTTAGAATTTCTTGAATTAGACCTGCCCCTTGGCCTTCCTTTCTGCAGACCACAAAACAAAGCTCGTGCATCTCCCGCCAATGCTCAAAAACAGTCCCCCGGTTTGCCCGACTATATCAGCCCGCTGCCCTCCAGGTTAACGCCGGCCGATCTTGGGTATCTGCGGAATAAAGGGGCTTTGGTTATTCCAGAGCCCGAACTGAGGGACGCACTTCTGCAGAGCTTTGTCTTGTTCGTGTATCCGTTTATGCCGGTTGTTGACCTGGGGGACCTTTTCACCAGAATTAAAGACAACAATCGCAAGAAGACGGTCAGCCTCATGCTTTTCCAAGCTGTCATGTTCGCCGCCGTTACACATGTGGACAGGCACATTTTGACTGCCCATGGATACAATAGCAAGAGAGAAGCGCGGAAAGCGTTTTTCGATCGAGTCAAGCTCCTGTATTCCCTCGACTGTGAAGTGAATCAAGTCACACTGGCGCAATCGGTGCTCCTGATGACTCATTGGTATGAGAGTCCAGACAATGTAAAAGATACCTGGCACTACATGGGTGTTGCCGCTTCCCTTACGCGAGCGATTAGTATGGATCGACCACCGGAGCTGTCGCGAGGGTTATTGAAACGTATTTGGTGGTCCTGTTACATCAGAGATCGAACCGTGGCTATTTCCATGCGGCGGCCCATGCGCATCCGAGAGGAAGAGTTTGATATTCCCGAGCTTGAGCTGCAAGACTTCGACATAGGCTCTTGGCCGAAGGACTTTGGTGGGACATTGGGAACCTGGGAGCCCGAACGCTACGTGATGCTCGTGAAAGTCTCCATTGCTCTAGCAGGCTGTTGCCGATGCATTGCCCACATCTTAAACTGTCATTATGTCGCTACAGGAGGTCAGGTCGGCGCTACACAAGAAACCACGATCCGGCTCAATCCCAAGAGATCCGCTTCATCGCCCTGCGGGTCTATAGATTGTGACGAGGAACTTGAGACATGGTATAAAACTTTACCACCGGAGCTTCAGTGGCCTAAGCAAGGCTCTCCGCAACTGAGACTCTCCCTCTATGACGAGGCTATTGCCCTCCATGTTGCTACTCTATATGGGATTTACATCACCTCAAAAAGCACGCTGCACCGTTCTCTTTTGGGGACTCATCCAGCTGGCTCTAGATTGAGTTCCCTCTCGGAGAAAGTAGTTCGTGGCGCTGCTATGAAGATTGTCGACCTGTTCCACGATTTGGACGCCATTGGCCTTATCCGCTATCTTTCGGAAGCTGGAATCGTAATTCTCCAACCAGCGATTGCCGCATGGCTCTGCGATATGAAGTCTTCGAATCCATCAGCTCGTGAAGCCGGAGCTGAACACTTCCGATTTTGTACAGGAATTTTAGACCAGCTAAGCGACGTCTTTGTGTCAGCACAGAGTGTTTCCTTGTTTGTTGCTGCGGCTGCTCGCAAGGTCGGTATAGCGGTCAAAGGGTCCTCTACGGGCATCTCAAATGGCAATAGAGAAGATCCAACGAGCGTTTCCTCGGGGATGCAAGAACGATCAGCAGCCCAAAACTTCCGAAGGACAATGTCATTGCCTGCGACAAAGGTCAACCGCCAACTCGAAGAACCGACACCGTATGATGCAGCGGCGTCGCTCATTCCCTGTATTACCATGACATCTCACGAGCAAGCACTCTTCACGGAACTGGCGACTCTTTCAAACCCCGATGACCCGGTCGCTGAGAGAGGTATATCTTTGGACTTAATAAAAGCTCGTGACCCCGGTGAGCTTTCGTTGTTTGACCTTGGTCCTCCCAGCGAACCAGGTATGAATAACGGGATCCAACACTACCAGGATCGATCTACGGACAAGGCAAGCTGCGATGGTCTTAGTCCCGATTTTGATCTCAACGCTTTTTCTATTCCAGCAGAAGATGGAATGTGGAGCGAGTTCTGTGACCTCTCGCTACTGTTAACAAATTGACATGAATAATGATATGATAATACGTTCCATATAACGGAAAAACCTGTGTGTTACCGGCCCCCTTAGAATATAATAAACAGGCTCTGCTCACCCTTAAATTCAATGCTTCTCAATAACATGAAGTAGGGAGTATCCCCATTACTCACCTTTTGAAAGTCCAATGTACAAAGAGCCTTCGAACGAATCCAACTAGCATAAACATAAGCAGACACAAGAAGATAGACCTGTAATAACATTTCATTCACATCAGAATACCGGAACACTGGCCCTCCCAGTCTTAACACGTTCCATTCGACCTAGCAGAAGTGCTTCCAGCTCGGGCTCTTTTATAGCACACTGACGAGCGGGATCATTAGTCTCGACTCTCTGCCTTACACTCACTTCCTCCAGCGAACACACATCCCCAACCTCTCCAAGAATAACCGCGTTTGCAATCTCGACACGTCTGAGATGCAACGCATGCAGCCTTTCGTGACACCGACTACAAAACGTCTCTAATACCTTGAGTTCAAGCCCCTTTACCACGGTGAGTCTAAGAGTTCTCAGCGATTTAAACTCGATCTGATCCGCGATAACATGGAAGACCTGGGACTCGTAAAGATTCAGCTCCCTCCATCTTCTCCAGGACGGGCCCGATAAGTTCCAGCTCCGGCTGCCCGATATCGGTCCCACGAAGGCTTAACTCTAGAGACCGTATGGCTATAAGAAGCCCTAGGGCTTTCAGATACGTAGGCATGAACGCTGTTTCCAAATGCCGGTGGAGAGTTTCTCGCACATCCCAGTAACACGTAGGTGCTTCGTGGGAATACAAGGAATGCTCGAATCGGAAGATGAATTTTTCAAACCGCGTGAAATTGGGTAGAGCATGTTTTAGTGTGAAGAATTCTAATGCTTTGGTTGTGATTTCGGTCTGTTGGTTGAAGGCCTCCTGGAGCATGGGTTGGATTTGATAGGAATTCAGATCACTACCGGATGTAGTAGCCCAGCGTCCTTGGTTATTGACATATTCATGTGGTGTGTGGATATTGCCATGGAACTTTTCTGCGTCACAGATTTCTCTGGCTTCCCATTACTATCTTTCAATGTATTGCCCATCGAGTCGTAGGATGGCTTTCCGGTATTGAGAAACTTGTAGTATTATGCTGCAACGACTTGACATGGACTGCTAAAATGGGATTTGCTATGTTGTTCAGTAAGTTTAAACCCCGTTTTGAACATCCAACGGAGACGGATCTGTAGCTCTCATCAATGGATAATGCGTTGTGGAGCTTGTTGAGTTTTGCAGGTGTACGGAGCGTTGAATAATCTAGATAGCGGAGGATCTCCAGCAAGACCTCGCGTGGAAGCTGGGTAAGGGACTGAGAGGGAATCGTTTAGTGAGACTGTCTCATGACTTGTTCTCAAGCAACTCGAGCCCTGTGCATACAGTGGTATTCTAGGTAGAGGGGTATATGGAAATATTATAACCCAGCACAGTATCTTGAATTACTACAGTACTGTCTGAATATCAACTAATCAACATACCTATGACTTTTATATCCCGCAACAGAACAAAAACAGGCAGAGTAAGCAGATATAATCAAGCTGGGACCTAGAGACTAAAACTTGACATCGCGGGTATAAGCGGATGTTTGCTGAATTCCCTTGAGCGCAGAACTCCAATAGTGCTCGCATTGACCCAGCAGGTCTGGTGCACTCCAGAAAGAAAGCTTCTAACTCAATAATACTTCTTCTCCCATGTAGATTCAGGCGGGAAACTCTGATGATACTCCTCGTAGAGGCCGCGTTTCTATGTAAATATAGGAATTGGACACGACTTGAAATTAAACATAATGTCCTCCCCGGCTGTAGGATCAGTAAAGACCGACCTTGAGTATTGCTATCCACTGATAATACGGCCGGTTTTTCTCCGCCCATTCCTTACTTTGAAGCTGGCCTAGTTCCTTGTACGATATCTAAAGCTCCTAGGGGACAGGTCCCAGCAGATCACGCTCCTCATTCAGTTATAATATTAGCCGCCAGCAATCGAAAGCCTTTCTCCCACAAATCAGTAAGCCATCAGCTTCCCTTGCTACTTTCCGGATGCTTGTTCTCTGTATCACAGGTATCGGAAGCGGATGCGGGAGGCTTTCCATCTCTATTCTGAGCCTGAAAGCCATCTTCGGATGCTACTTTGGCTGAAAGATGAACTGACTGCAGGATAAACAATACAGAAACTAATCCTCGATTGTTAGGGTAGATTGCCTAAGTAGCAGGAATACTGGGAAATAATTATGAGTAGCTGGTGATCTAGAAGAGAGTCCTTACCCTGCTTGTAATATCATGAATAGTATATCAGGCAATAGGATCCCAGTCAATAAAATCCTGACGTAGATTACTACAGTTTCATATGATACTAGCCCAGAAGACCGACCTATCAAAGCCAAATGATAAACCTACAAACGGTTAATAAAAGCAGCATTTTCTATCCACTTCCTAGGCGTCTATGTTCAAAGACATTAGAGCCTTATAATGCCTTGAAAGGAAACGGGTACAGCTTACTACAAGAGCAAAGAGTGATTCTAATGTAATCCTAATGCAGTACTAATATAGAGAGAGAGATATCTAGTCTAACTCAACAACCAATAGAATCACGACCGTCCAATATGAATCAGCCCATTATTGGTTGTACTGGCTTTGACAACTAATAGGGACCATTGTCAACCTCTCAGAGGAAGACGGAGGACAAAGGACTGGTGAATATATTGGCTTTGGGCATTTTTCCTACGGCGAAATGGGATATGATGCCGTCAGCTTGGAGGCTTGGCTGGAAACGGGCGAAGTTTGCGAGGGTGAGTGGCGTAGATATGAAAATTTCGAAGCCATAGGCGCTTGGAAAAGCTGATATCTCGTATCCTGTTTGTTATACATGATGCTAATAAGATATTCTAAATACAAATGATGCCTCGCCATACTTTCTATATCGGTATTATCTACTCCCATATTAAAAGGGCAGTATGTCAATTCATTCAGCCGGTAAATAACACAATAGTCTCGTTCACTGGGCATCATGAAATGACACCTTTATGATAATAGCCTTGATACCCTTTGAAGTCCTTTGATAATCTACAAACAGATAACGGACCCATGCTCAGGAAACAATGGCAATCCCTGATAGCAACCGATCTATCCTCTCTACACTTCTTTGGCAGATGCTTCGTCCTTGGGTTTCGCAAAACAATCACCCCAGCAAGATGCAAAAGCGGCTGTGGTCTACTAGGTAGCAATGAACCTCGGTACCAGCCGTCTACTAAGGCCGCTCTGGGTATCTATATTCAAGGTTGTATCATCCTTTCCAAAGATACGGGCAAATTGGCTTTAGACCAGACATGTTCTATTCAACGAAGTAGTAAGTACTATTAATTTCCTCCAATGCAAGAAACGCAACAAACACTAGGTCTGAAGACATGAGAACCCGGAACGCCAAGGATATGTAGTTGATGAGTATGCACAGTATGTGGCAATTCGCATTGAGGTTGAGAGCACCAGGCGTCGACAACTCCCCCGCAAGTCCTCTATATACAAGATATCTAACGAATCCGGTCTAGTTTGGCGCGGTTCATTGCAATCTGGTCGTCGACGAAGTCGCTCTATAACAGTATTAGATCCCAATCTATAATAACAGTCGAAAAAGGAGAGATTTACCTTTTGCATGATACGCTCCAGATGGCGGTTCTGCTCATCCAGCTCACGGCCCGTCGCCTTAGAAAGCCCATGCAACCGGCCTGCGGCTCCAGAAAGCAGATCCAGATTTTGCTCAATCTCGTCCTCCATCCCCTCATCCTCACTGTCCGCCTCGAACTGGTACTTGGCACGTTCGGTGGCATTCGTTCGCACCTTTCCGTTATGCTTGCCGGCTTCGCGGTCAATCTCTCTGAAAGTGCGCTCCATACGCTGGTTGGTGGAGAAGGCTTCCTTGCGAGTGCCCTCACGAGTCTCACGCTCCTCTCGATGAGTATTCAAGATCTTCTCATCACGGTCTCGGCGACGACGCGCGCTGGTGAATGGGTTCGAGACGTGGACGGCGAACATGCTCTTATTGAGCGTCTTCAACTCTTTAGCCTTCTCCTCAGCAATGCGTCCTTCTATCGTAGCGATATCCAAGCTCTTCTCGGTATCGTGAATCCGTTCGCCTTGGGCACCCAGACGAGCAAGAGTCTCCCGACCTGTCTCCTCAGCCTGTGCCGCAATACGGAGGGCATTTCGTGTGGATGCCACATCGCCCTGCTTGATGAACCGGATGTCTTGCTTGATGGTTTGGATTTCCTCCTCTTCTTCTTCCTCTGCGGTAAGGTGGCGTTCCTGGTATGTCGAAGTGTTGTATGCATTGCTACCGCCACCGTAGGAGGGAGTACCCTCCGAGTATGGGGGAGGAGGACCACCCTGGGTCTGTTGCTGCGCTCTTTCCCTAGCTCCCCCAAAAAGTGCATCTCTCCCAGCATCGCTTGGGTCATTGGGATCGGTGCTGCCCAATCCTCCATAGCCACCTGGGCCATACCGGGACGCAGCAGGGGCGGGACCACCACCACCGAATCGATCACCTCCGTATCCACCCTGGTTTACATAGTTGTTGGGGGTATAACCTCCTTGGAGTTTGTTATCGCCAGGAACGTTCCCGCCTGCGGGGCTATTCCTGGCAGGTGGTTGTTCACCTGCCGGTAGGGGAGCCACTCCGGCATTGATCTTAGCTTTGGTGTAAGGGTCTGTTGGGATAGGTTTTGCGTAGGGGTTCGCCGGAGGCGCTGGGCTCTTACTCTTCGATCGAGAGCCAAAGAGTGCAAGGCGGTTATGGGATTCGTCGCCGTCGTCCTTCTTGCGTCCAAATACCATCTTGTATTCTTGTATTAGAACCAGAACTAAGTGCAAAACGGGTATAAAGAGAATAGAGGATGCCCAGGGATCACAGCAAAAGATGTGATTGAACTGAGAGTGCAAGAAGCCAAAGGGACGAAGAAGGGACGAAGAAGGGAAGAAGTGAGACAGGAGGAGTGGAAATGGTGAAACTGGAATTAAAGGAGAGTCTCGTGAGGAATTAATTGGATGGAGAGTCGAGACTCCTGTGGCGGCCAGTATTACCAGTACGCATTGTCTTGCTTATCGTTGGGCACTGATAAAGACCGTGACAGTACCCATACGGTATGCAATTCTCCATCTGGCACTTCACTGTGGCAGTGTCCGTGGGCGGTGTATCCACTAGGCCGGACTCGGTTTAGCGTGTGTAGTAACAAAGCCTCAAAAACGACAACCGCCGAAAACGTTGCCTTCACCTTGCTCTTCTCCCAATCACACGTCCTCAAGTGCTTTCCCGGCAGCCATGGCGCCGTTTCCTGGGTCTGATGCTGACTATTTTAAGGACAACGCCCGTAGGGTTCTGTTGAATCTGCTTGAAGGCGTGAGTAAGACTGGATTTCTCAAGGCACCAACAATATCTCGGGCTTAGCTGAAATTGGTGCAGGTGCGTGGGAAGAAGAACCTTGTTGTCAGCCAAGATCTGGCCGGTCCAGTCGGGCTTTTTGTCAAGTTCTCTCTACTCCAGGAGTACGGTGTAGACCGCGTGTTCTTACTGGAGAATTGCAATGTGGACTCTTCTCAACGCAATGTCGTATTCCTAGTTCATGCTGAAAAGACACGCCAGGTGCGGACCGTCGCAGGTATGTCATTTTCTGATCACCACTGCCTCGAAGTCTCGTAGATTCGATTTTTACCTGCTCGTCCTGCCCATGGCGAAGCGCATACTCCACCTACTACGTGGGACGAACAGTAGATTACGCAGATGCATTCATACTCTACGTAGTCAGTCCAGAGATCCCTAAATTAAGAAAATTGTTTAATCATATCAGCTCATCCATAAGGCTTTCTTTCTCAATTTCTCCGACTGAATGCCATCAGAATGAGCTGACATTTACTTTAGACCAGATTAAACGCTTACAGCGCAATGGCAATGTTGAACATGAATTCTCTATATTCTGGGTCCCAAGACGTACCCTTGTAAGCAATGCAATCCTGGAGGATGCCGGAATTATCGGAGATGTGAACATTGCCGAGCTTCCCTTGTACTTCATGCCTCTGGAGCAAGATGTCCTGTCCTTGGAGCTGGAGGACTCGTTCAGCGACCTGTATTTGGTAAGTATCAGCCTGACTTTGTAAAGACATGTTTATTGATTGTCGCAGCACAAGGACCCAGGCTGTGTATATCTTGCCGCCAAGTCTCTTATGGGCCTCCAGCAGCGGCATGGTTATTTTCCCCGTATCATTGGCAAGGGTGACAATGCACGACGACTAACTGATCTCTTACTGCGTATGAGAAGGGAGCTTGATGCTGAAGAGGGCTCAGGCCTGACTGACCTCAACGCAAGAGGACTCCTCCCAAGCTCAGATACCGAAAGTCTGATCATCATTGACCGTGAAGTTGACTTCGGCTCTGCCCTCCTCACACAGCTCACATATGAAGGCTTGATCGATGAGACCGTCGGTATCAAGCACAACCAGGCGGACGTGGACACAGCCATCGTTGGTTCATCACCAGTCCCTCAAGCACAGGAATCTTCCAAAGCACCACAGCAAACATCTAAACAAAACCAAAAACGTAAGATTCAACTAGACGCCTCTGACCAACTTTTCAGCCAGCTCCGTGACGCCAACTTCGCCATCGTCGGCGACATCCTGAACAAAGTGGCTCGTCGCCTCGAAAGTGATTACGAGAGTCGCCACACAGCGAAGACAACAACCGAACTTCGCGAGTTCGTCAACAAACTACCGACCTATCAACTAGAGCACCAAAGTCTCCGAGTCCATACCAACCTCGCGGAGGAAATTATGCGCAACACCCGCTCAGACATTTTCCGCAAAATCCTAGAAGTCCAGCAAAACAACGCTGCAGGTGCCGACGCAACCTACCAACATGACGCTGTCGAGGAGCTCATCGCTCGCGACGTTCCCCTCAAAACCATCCTCCGCCTCCTATGTCTAGAATCCTGCATGGCCGGTGGTCTCCGCCCCCGAGACCTAGAAAACTTCAAGCGACAGATCGTCCACGCCTACGGCCACCAACACCTCCTTACATTTTCCGCCCTCGAGAAAATGGAACTCCTCCAGCCTCGTTCCTCCGCTACAGCCATGCTCCTCCCGACAACAGGCACCCAACCTGGCACAAAAACAAACTACAGTTACCTCCGAAAACACCTCCGCCTCGTGGTCGAAGAAGTCAGCGAAAAGGACCCCAACGACATCGCCTATGTATACAGCGGCTTCGCCCCACTGAGCGTCCGCCTAGTCCAATGCATCCTGCAAAAGCCATACATTCTCTCTCTCATCAGAGGCGGAACAGCCGCGACTTCAACTTCTCCCAGCCTAGCCAGCGCCGCATCCCCCGGCTGGCTCGGATTCGAAGACGTAGTCAAAAGCGCCCGCGGCGCAACATTCAGCATTGTTCAAAAGGGTGATGATAAGGCAATCCGTGCCCGCCAAACGCTCAGCGGAAATAACGCTACCAAGACGGTTTACGTTTTCTTCTTAGGCGGCATCACATTCACGGAAATCGCCGCGTTGCGATTCATAGCCGCGCAGGAGGCACCACGCAGGAAGATCGTTATCTGTACCACGAGCATTATTAACGGGGATCGGATGATGGAGGCTGCGATTGAGAAGAAGGATTTCAGTAAGATGGAATGAGCGGTTATGGTTTATGAGCACTTTGCGTGTAATTGTTATGCAAATATTGATAATCGTCATGACTAAGGTAATAATCATGAGAATGGTACGCTGGGCAATTAGTACATGTGGCGGTAATCGGGTAGTGTACTATTTTCAATTTATAGTATCTACGTAATTAATATTTGAACGCGGAATTCACGCCCATCAATCGTCCCTGATACCGTTCCATCACCTCCCCTAACTTGACCATCACACCAGCTGCCAGCGTCCTCAATTGTTCTCTAGGTTCGTCACCCTTGGTTGCAGGCGTGCGATCGAAAACACCACCCGCCCATTCACGTAGCTCAATAACTTGCGACGCGAACTCGGTGGCGAGTCGTTCCTCACCGGAGGACCCTGAAGCGACATTCAAGTCTATTAACGCGAGATAGAGAGCCAGGAGTGAAGAGAGAATGGTTGGATCGTCAACGAGGGGGCGCGAATGGAGAGAGAGGAGGAATGACAATGTGTCCTCTGTGACGTTAGGGAGGTAGGGAGTGTGAGGACCCATAGTAGAGAGAATGAGGGTCAGGGTTTGTATGAATAAGGTCAAAATACTGGGTGTGAAGAAGGGATTATATGAAGGAGCCGTCGACCTGTGTTATAATTGTTAGCAATGCACTTCTTACATGGCCGGTATTGGCTAAATGGAGCACTGACGAAGAAAATTGCAGCATCATCATCTCAAATCGGCCCTTCAGAGGATGAAAGAATCCTTCGGCTAGAACCTTGTAGAGATCTTTGACAGTAGACTTCTGTCGTTGGGCCTCTCGCTGCTGGCGTCGTTTCTCGACTTCCATTCTAGAAGAGAACGTTCGGACCTTCAGCGCGTTCGGGCCAGAAAGAGAATCTGCGGCGTTAGCCGCCAGTGGTTGGAGGGAAGTTTGTGCCAGCTTCTTTGTTAGACTGGCAATTGGAGACTCATTACTCGAGTACAGAGCTTCCAAATTGGCTGGTAACTTCTTGGACGGGAAGGATGGATCTGGCATCATTGGGAGACCCAGTGTTTCAGCGTCTTTCTCCCCGTTTCCGGCTAATTCACGAGCACTCAGGCCTAGACCGGTTAAAACTGCCGATCGCTGGACCTGGGATAAGTCTCCATCAAAAAACATTGCAGAAAACCATCGACCCATTTTCAGTGGCTGGGATACGATCAGGGCGATGATGCTTTGAAGCCGATATTCGTGGAAATTGGGGGATTTGCTTTGCTCCTGTAGGCCAACTAGAACAAGTGCTAGTTCTGCGGTATTCTCAGCAAGTTCGGTCCCAAAGCCAGTTTTGCGTCTGATCAATGAAGGAGCTGTGCTTATAGCCAGTTCAAAGCGTTCTATATTCTCTGTGTCTCTCAGATAGATTATAAGGTCTCGGATGTACCTAAAGGCTGTGTCAGTCGCACATAAAGAGTAAAGGTTGGTTTTGTCCAGCTTACACTGGTGCTGTTGGCTTGTTACGTTGAACCAGCGTGGGATCCTCATCTGAATCGTAGGGGTCTTCATCGGGCTTTTCGTAGGGAATTAGATCATCATCTTCTTCAGACTCTTCATTTTCAGACTTTATTTCTTCGATTGCCATGATCTTCGCTGTTCGCTGAGGCGGCCTCTTTTGATTATTCGTTGAGGAAGTAGATGACTCTTTCACTTGTTTTGGGGATTTGGATGTTAAGTCAGTTGGCGACTTGATTGATTCCAGAGACCCAATGTTGTCTTCGACTTTGATCATATTGAAGTACCACAAGGCCTCGTCACTCTGCATTTCTTCGAGGTCGAATCTCATTGCTTTCCCCGGCTGTTCAATGAGTTGCGAAATTGACATTCCAATGATCATTCCGAAGAATCGGGCTTTAGAAGACGAAGCGGCTAAACGGTTGGATACGGTACTGAGAAAGATACTCGAGCGCCCTATCTCCATGACAACACTTGAATCAAGTCGCTTAAGGTAGCCCGCCGCCAGAAGTAGAACTTGGGTATTCGCTAATACAGGTTAGTATCTAGTACTTCGTCGCTCGGCCATTGTTGAATATACCTTCCTGGCTCACAATTGGCGCGTGTTTAATATAGAATTTGTCACTGGACTGCTCCAAGCTCTTCTTGACCAAAATCGTCATTACATCTATGGCGCACAACGTTAATACGGTCTACAAGATGGTTCTAGGCTGGGCTTACCCTTTTGGTCTGCAAAACTAGCCAACAACGCCCGCCGTAGGCCAATGGTCTGTATTGAGCCGCCCTGGCCTTTCGACAGCCAATCCAGAAGCTGAGTCTGAATATATTGACGTCCACCTATGATGATAGAGCACAATGTCGCAACACCACTAACAAGCCGGTTTAAAATGCCTTCATTACTTCCATTGGCCAGTGGAACCAGGAAATACTTCTTTTCCAGGTCGCGGAATGTCGATTCCAATACCGCAAGCTGTTCCATCGACCGGAGTTTATCGAAAAGAGCATTGTACCGCTCTCGGAGAGTCTCAGTAATGAGAAGTCCGGTATACACCTCGCGTACCATGTGATCTGAAAGAATTGTTAGCATGAGAAATAAGACATGAATAACGCCAAGTACCTGTATAACCAAGGCTCAACGCTCGCCCAGTCAGGGATGCGACAGCTTTCCAAGCTTCGTCCTTGTTGAGATCAACTTTTGAGGCCATATAGCAGATATTAGTCCCCAACCATGATACGTATTGGGACCCATCTCCAATCCATGTAACTGAATTTAGACCGCCACAGTCCTTAGCTAACGTGAGCGCTTCTGCTGTAGTCGATAAAACTTTACTAGCAGCAATAAGAGACACAAATTCCTTCCATGCAACCTGCTTCTGAGTCAAGTTGCTGTAAAGTGCCTCAATATCTGTATACAGGCGCAAAGTAAAATCTTTGGGCTTCAAGAGGGCGGAAAGAACCGCTAGAATATCTCTAATCTGGATTTGAGAGCCCGATGCTCTTGCATGCTGGGAGGACGACCGCGCTGCAGTTATAAGCGAGCGAAGCTGAGTTACTAAACAGCTTACACCAGAAACACTGCTAAAGCATCTCAACAGGGCAGCTCGTAGCTTATGGTCCTCTGATGTGGACACCTTCGATCTTGCATTCAAAGACGCCCAATGATCGGGAATCGTAATTGTGCCTAAGGCATTGAGTATCTGAGCTGTCAACGGATTTGGAATTCTAATGTCAAACCGTTTTGAGGTTACGCTTCTATTTGACGGATCCAGTACACTGAGGATGCGAGAAAGATCGGTGCGGTCAGGTTTCGATTTCAGTGCCGCTAATATATAATCTGCAGATGTTGGATCTGCACCAATATCGGGTTTCGGAATAGCTTCACGGCTACCCAGTTCATTGACAGGTCTATCTTTGGAAATCGACAGAGAAGGGTCACAGCCTTGAGTAACTGTTTTAACCTCTGTCAATAACCCGTCCATTTTCTGAGAATGACTGACTTTGGGGGGAGTAAGATGAAATCGTGAAGGTGGAGGAAATTGTTGTATAAGCGGAGGGGTCACGTGCGGCGGAGTGTATGTGGAACAATCATTCATTCAGCCAGTCAACAACCTGCCCTCTTATTTCCTGCTCTTGTTTCCACCAAACCTAGGCTGTCTGTTTTATAATCCTGGAAGATTGGGTGGCTCTTGTAAAGTGTACCTGGCGTTTTTATTTATTTCCTCTAAAACACCCTTTTCACTGAAGTGTACGATTCATACCTCTGGCGTCATTAACCACGGATGCGGTGAATCAACTAACCAAGGAGAACTATTATAGTTTGAAATTCTATAGAGCGCACACTTTCTCCAAAATGACTTCTTCTCTTCGGTGGTAAGGTGCCTCCTAACCCTACTCTCATCATAAATAATATTACTCACTTTTTGCAGGAAACACCTTCACCAGGTATTAACCAAGCCGGGGCCTTTCAGCGATGAAGACTGGGTGCCTGGTCCAGAGACAATCCGCGCTCTGGAAACATCAAAGATTCTGTATGTACCAGAAGCAATAAGTCAAGTTCCTACCTCTAACATAATTTAGAGTTATGTATGTATATACAAGCTCCTCTAACCGATCGAAATGGCAACTAAGTGGGATCATCCTAGCGGGGCTGGAGGTCTAGGCTGTGAGATTCTGAAGAACCTCGCTTTGTCAGGCTTCAAAGATATCCATGTTATTGACATGGGCAAGGTTTCCCTACAAGTCTCAGTTGTAATAGCATAGCTAACTGGAATAGACACTATCGACATCTCAAATCTGAATCGTCAGTTTTTGTTCCGTCAATCTGACATCGGCAAACCGAAAGCCGAGGTCGCAGCAGCCTTTGTAGAGAGTCGAGTCAAAGGCGTCAAAATTACCCCATACGTAGGGAGGATTCAAGATAAGGATGAAGACTACTATATGCAGTTCAAGATAGTCGTCTGTGGTCTCGATAGCATAGAAGCCAGAAGATGGATCAACGCAACCCTCATTGGCATGGTTGATTCTGAGAACCCCGAGAGCCTGAAGCCGCTTATTGACGGAGGAACTGAAGGTATTAAACGTGTGTTCTCTGAGGTACTACGCACGGCTAACGAGGAGCAGGTTTCAAGGGGCAGGCGCGTGTTATCTTACCAACGCTGTCTTCTTGCATTGAATGCCAGCTTGATATGCATGCCCCCCGTCCTGCTGTCCCCCTGTGCACTATTGCAACCATCCCTCGACAGCCCCAACATTGCATCGAATGGGCGCACCAAATTGCCTGGCAGGAACAGCGCAAGGATGAGCCTTTCGATAGTGACGACCTAGACCACATTGGCTGGTTGTACAATGCGGCACTTGAGCGCGCGAAGCAATTCCACATCCATGGCGTCACTTTCCAGATGACTCAGGGTGTGGTAAAGAACATTATTCCCGCAATTGCCTCCACGAATGCTGTCATCGCTGCTGCGACCACATCTGAGGCGTTGAAGATCGCCACCTCATGTAACCCATACCTCGATAACTATATGATGTACGCCGGTGAAGAGGGTGTGTATACCTATACGTTTGAGGCTGAAAAGAAGCCCGATTGCCCGGTCTGCGGAAACCTCGCGCGTAATATGACCGTGGATCCAGACATGACGCTGGAACACTATATTGACAGTCTTGGGGACCTACCGGAAGCTCAATTGAAAAAGCCCAGCATGAGAACGGAAGAAAAGACGCTCTACCAGCGTTTCCCTCCCCAGCTGGAGGAGCAGACAAAGCCGAATCTGACGCGCAAGCTCAGAGAACTGGTGGAGAACGGGCAGGAGATCGCGGTCAGCGATCCAGCTTACACGATCGATTTCCGCTACCGGCTGGTGTTCAAATAAGGTTCATAATGCATTACTTCAAATGAGACATGAGTCGTTTCGATAAACACAAGATTTTCCCTCTAGACAAAGGCTTCAATATCAATTGTGCTTTTTCTATATGTGACAAAAATCGCCCTTTCCAGACTCCCAACATAGGTCTTGACCGGCTTTTCATAAACTGTACAAACTCGCAAAATAACGACAGAACCAACGCCGACCATGCATTAAGAACTTTGACATGAAGTGCAGGAATTAGCGTAGAACACCTTTACCGCATGAGGTCCGCCAATCCCCTCTTCCACCTAGCGCATTTGAGCTTCATCACCTTCACGCTCTCCAAGAAAAGCACATCACTCTCAAACTGGCCAGTGCTCTCAATGTTGAAGATGAAATGGTCGCGCACACGACCCAGCTTCACCTTGCCTTGGAACTCCTCGTGTCTCAGACACTCTCTGCTAACGGTATCATTGAAGGCATCGCGGACAACCGCCTTTGTCTCACCCTCGTGACCTTCGTATCCGCTTCCTTGCTTCGCCGCATCTTCCAGAGTAACAGACTCCAAACCAATCACACCCTTAGGGAAGCACTTGGCGAACTTCTTAGCATCTTCTCCAAGGATTGGGCGCAGGATTTTGATTTCGGGCAGCAGACGATATGTGGCGGTAGCAACAGGCGAGAACTTCGCATGGTCGGCTCCAATGCCCTTGATACAATGCAATTCCATATCAATCTTCTGACCAGGACGAAGCTTAGCAATCAGGATATCTGGGTTGACCGGCTGAATGGCTGCCTCGCCGATGAAGAACTGTTCCTGACGTCCGACAGGGTGGAAGGTAATATCTCTAGCGTAGACGTGCGCATTGTTGTACAGCTTGCGGGGATCGGTTTCCTCGGGGTCGGCGTTGGGGTTCTTAGTACATTCGATATCCAGTCGCAAGACGATCGTGTTGAAATCGGCAGGACTGCTGCCGCTCTCGGGATCATCCTCGGTAGGCTTATTGAACCAGCGCATCCAGTTGATACCCTCCACGGAACCCTTCAGTGGAATCAGACCTAAACGCTGTGCGAGAACTTCATCCTGGATGACAGAGGTATTATTGTGGACGAAGACGAACTCGATGGCGACAGTGGGCACTTCAGCCATAACAATACGGCGGAAGGCATTGGCGATCGATGCGTCGATGCCGACCAGAGAGAAGGAAGATTCGAATCTTTCGTTGCGGTGGAATTCAACTTTGAAGTCCTATGAAGTAGATAATGTAAGCGCCCGCAGAACGTAAGGGCGAGAGCGCGGGGTTGAATAAGAATTGGAATGAATAAAAGGTTGGGAACTATACATTTTTGAATTTATCCAGGTTCCACTCGTGCGACTCACCCGGCCAGTGACCTGGGAAGTCTGTGGAGGGGATGTTGGAGACCGTTTCTGGGTTGATGTCGATGATCTGGAGGATTGATTAGTATGGTGAATAGGGGAGAATTGCGTGCATAGGTAAAATTACCCTCCGGCGATCAAGCTCCGCCTGCGAAGGGACGAGAGGCGCCATGATGTTTGTGTAATCGGTGGGTATCGAGTCGTTGACGATATGGAGGGAAAGAGGGAAAAAAGTTCTTTAGAAAACCGGCAGTATGTCCGCAGACCGAAGGCGGAAAGTTATACTCATTATACTGCACTCGATATTGTGAGTGTGTCGGCTAGTATGGGTGCGCAATAGGTGGCCTCCCGAAGGCCAACCAGAGGCGGCCTGATGACAATAAGCTCCTCATCACGTGACCACCCAAATTGTAATTCAGCCAACCTCCAAGCATCAAATCCGCGTAAACCACTCCGCAGAGTCCCTCCCATCAATTGCGTCCGGACCGAGGACTGTCAGCCTCCTTTTCCTCCTCGTCCTTCTCTCTCACTTCCGAATGGCTGCTTCCTTTACTCGCCTGGCGGGCAGCGCGCCCAAAAGGCTTTATCTCCGCCCCTCCCACTTCACCAAATACACCATCCCCAGATCCCGCTCGATAGCAACGTCGCTTCCTCGTCGGCAAGCAGAACCTACCAGCTACCAGGCGACCAGACTCATCCCCACTGATCCCACTTTCACACATGTGGCTAACAAGAACGGTCCCCAAGAAGCCGAGATTCCCGCTGGTCTCGAGTCCGAGAGTGAAGGGGTCAACCGCAAAATCCGTCACTACACAGTCAACTTTGGTCCCCAGCATCCAGCTGCTCACGGTGTGCTTCGGTTGATTTTGGAAATCAATGGTGAAGAGATCGTCCGTGCGGATCCCCACGTCGGATTGCTTCATCGTGGTACCGAGAAATTGATCGAGTACAAAACTTACATGCAGGCTCTGCCTTACTTCGACAGATTGGACTATGTCTCCATGATGACGAACGAGCAGTGCTTCTCGCTGGCTGTCGAGAAGCTATTGAATGTGGAAGTTCCCGAGAGAGCCAAGTATATCCGTACCATGTTCGGAGAAATGACCCGTATCCTGAACCACCTCATGTCCGTCCTTTCTCACGCTATGGACGTTGGTGCTCTGACGCCATTCTTGTGGGGCTTCGAGGAGCGTGAAAAGCTCATGGTAAGCAATTTCTGTTGTAGCTGCAAACAGATTGGACAAGGTGATTGATGGACAATCCTTCAAACAGGAATTCTACGAGCGAGTCTCCGGTGCCCGTCTGCACGCCGCCTACGTCCGCCCCGGCGGTGTGTCCCAGGATATTCCCCTCGGCCTTCTCGATGATATCTACCAATGGGCCACCCAGTTCGGTGACCGTATCGACGAGACTGAGGAACTCCTCACCGATAACCGTATCTGGAAGGCCAGAACCCAGGGCGTTGGCGTCGTCAGCGCCGCTGATGCACTGAACATGAGTTTCACTGGTGTCATGCTCCGTGGCTCTGGTGTGCCATGGGATATCCGCAAGTCCCAGCCTTATGATGCTTATGACCAGGTTGAGTTCGACGTCCCCGTCGGTGTCAATGGTGACTGCTACGATCGTTACCTCTGCCGTATGGAGGAATTCCGCCAGTCCCTCCGTATCATCCACCAGTGCTTGAATCAGATGCCCGCTGGTCCCGTCAAGGTCGAGGACTACAAACTTTCGCCTCCCCCTCGTGCCGCCATGAAGGAGAACATGGAGGCCCTGATTCACCACTTCCTTCTGTTCAGCAAAGGTTACACCGTTCCCCCTGGGGAGACCTACTCCGCCATTGAGGCCCCCAAGGGTGAGATGGGTGTGTTCCTTGTCAGTGACGGTAGCGAGAGGCCCTACCGTTGCAAGATCCGTGCTCCTGGTTTTGCCCATTTGGGTGGTTTCGATCAGGTTGCTCGTGGTCACTTGCTGGCAGATGCTGTCGCCATTATCGGTAAGCTACAACATCTAACAATCTACAATCTCTTAACACACTCCACTAATACTCAAATCTAGGTACAATGGATCTGGTGTTCGGTGAAGTCGATCGGTAGAAAACGAGAGGAACTCCAAAGCTTCTGTAAAACGACTTTATAACTTGATTCTTGCAAAGAATAGAAAAGAAGCAAAGATAAAGCTCTTTCAAAAATAACCTTTCATCTACCTCTTGATTATCCGTTCTCAACTTCATCGCGGTGTTATTCGATCACCACCTCGCTGTACCAATTCCGTTTTTAATGGCGTTGTCTGTTTCCTCTGTTTACCGCCTCTACGTGAATCCCGATCTCTATCTCTTTTCTTACCACCATCTACCCTGTGTATAGTGACCGAATTCCCAGTTACAATATCATGTCTTGTAAAATATGGGTCTTGCAATTGTAGGATTATAATCCGGAGTAGATATAAATTTTTAAGTGAAACAAGAAGGTATGTTCATAGGACGGGGACGTATATTTATCTGCTACCGATAACCGCACGATCTTGTATGGTGATCAAAGTGACCGACAACGAACGGAAGAAAATATAGTGAAACAGACAGATGAAGAGACTGAATAATGAACCATATAGAGGTAAGATGTGCTAAACTACTAACCCGCTCCGAAAACGCCTATAAAACATGCGCCTATGCAAATGCAACCTGAGCACAAAGTATCAACAACCGAAAATCAAATGCATCAGCCTAGATGCCTTATTACCAGCCCAGAAGCCGGTGCTTCTCAACGCAATCTTCACTGCGAATCGAACTTGGTGTGGACGGGAAACAAGCTGTTGTCGTCAAGATGCACGAGGTCGAGGGACAACGAACGATCCTGACGCTAAAAAAGCATTTGACAATAGCCTCATACAACATTATACGTTGTCATCGTCGTAGAAGAAGTTGATATCGCGGGGCCGGCGTCGGTTGTACGAGACGAAGTCGCTGTCACCGGGTGGTCGTTCGTCGCGTGTGTTTGCTGTTAGCATGCTTTGAATACTCATGCAGACGCTCTCCACTGTTTGTACAGGTGACCATCCGGCCGAGCTTAGTAGATCTAAGCAGATGATTCCGTTGCTGTATATGTGCGGGTGGATGGGGATTGGGCGAGGGGTCTCCGATGAGTTCGGTAACTCGATGAACTGGACTTCCGGTGGCTCTGTATAAACGAAGTTGATTAGTGTTTGTTGAGCAGAGTGCTTCAAATATACATATACATAAATCTTGGAAGGGAAAGGAGTGTAACACTAGGAAGCAGATTCAGGCGTACCTATTGGATACTTAGACCCGAACGTGAACTTGAGCCTATAGACCTGATTCTGATAGAGGGGATTCTCGTCCAGGACTCGGATATCCATCTGCCACTCTTCGAGATTCTCTGATTTTGCAATTGATATACCAGGCGGTAAATGTTCTTTCATCTAAAGTTGTAACATAGTCAATTCCTTTTGTTCGTTTATATATGCTACTGATCTTGGTGGCAGATAGCAAAATCGTAATGTTGTTCATTACCAAAGCCATAGCTCAGCATGTAGGACGATCGACAAGAATAGGGCATGAGAGACGTAGGGGAGGTAAGTACCTTGAGGAGCTCCTGTTATCGTAAGCAAATTAGTCTGGGAACAAAAATTCATGAGGGGGTACAATTACCTTGCTCAAGCGTTTACCCGCAAACATGGTGAAAGATACGATTCGGAGGGCTGATTAGACAGCTCTCACTATCGCGGGATAGTAATACTCGCAGCAATTTCCTGTGTTCGCACGCTGGCCACTCCCATATGTAAGAACACCGTTGAGCCGCAAAGATGTATGACGTCTGACTCTAGCGTGGGGCGATCCACCACGGAAAAGTTGTAACGACGCGAGGGAGTGTGGGGGACGGGTGAGAATGAGGTGAAAAAAATGCGGGAGGGAGAAATGAAATGTGGAAGAGTAAAAAATCGTTCTTGAAAATGCAGCGGTTGTGAAGATGTGTCCAAGGAGTTTCAACGACAGCGCAACTTTATACACTCTCCGCCAGTCGATCACCTGCCCTGAGGCTGACTTCCCCGGCGCCCGTCATCTGATTGGCTCGCGCATCTGATGGTGGCCTGGCACGTGATGCCCATCCACATGATTGGGTCATCTAGTATAGTACATGATATATATTAAGGAGAATAGTAATATAGAAGGTACGTCTATTGAGAGGATGATATCAAGGCAGAAGTCACATTCGAGCCAAAAAGACAAAGGTGCTAAGCCCTGAAGTCTAAGCGCTGAGAGTTTTCAGAACAACCTGAACAAAAGTTACTGTATACACCATTCGTGTTATGGACGGGGAATCATGAAAATGATATTCAAAAAAAAACCTCGGATGATGGGGCGGGGCCTCAAGAGTGGCCTGGAGAAATAAATAAACACACACGTTAAACGCCACGATATAATGAGAATCAAGCATGGGCAGTTTTCTCTCGGGCTTCACGCTCGAGCCTCTCACGTTCTTCAGTGTCCTTCTGCTCACGGACCTTTGCAAGCACGACCTCGCGGAAGATAGCTCCGCGTGCAACCTTACTCAAACTCCGCTTCTTAGTTGTGCCGGTCTCGGCCTCCCTCGAAGTAGCCGGCGAGTCGACCGACGTAGATCCGGACTTTTCAGAATCATCAGCAGCAGCTGCCATGGCTGCAGGGCTAGGGATGTCGTCCTCATCCTCATCATGCATTTTGAGTGCCTCAATACGGTTGGCAAGTTTGATAATCTCAATACCTCTCTTGAGGCGGGATCTGGCAATGTATGCCCGAATTTCAGGCAGCAAGTCACGGTCACTAGCCGACTCGCCCTTCAGCCATGGATGCTTGAGGGCCTCTTGAGACGTGACACGCTTTGATGGATCAGGCTGGAGCATAGTAAGGATGAAATCCTTGGCGTCCTTGGAGACGTCCCGCCAGTAGCGTTCATGGAAGATAATGCGGCCACTGCGGCATTCTTCGATCAAATCAGACAGGCTCTCGGACCGAAAGGGCGAGTAGCCGCAAAGCAGGGTATATGTGATGACACCGAGAGACCACATGTCGACAGCCTTTCCGTGGCCTTGCTTGAGCATGACCTCGGGCGCGGCATAGCCGAACGACCCAGCCATACTGGTCAGGACTTCACTGGGATTCTCCAACATCTTGGCAATGCCAAAGTCGGCAAGGACCAAAGGCGAGGATGGGTCGCGGGTGAGGTAAAGCAGGTTCTCCGGTTTCAAGTCTGAATGTTTTAAGCCCAGAATTAGCACGCAACGGGCTTTGGTTCAACATGAAGATGCGAATGGTTAAGCGGACCTCGATGGACAATGTTCCTTTCGTGCAAATAATTAACTGCGCCCAGCACCTGACGAATAGTTTGAGATGCATCCTTCTCTGTGAATTTTCCGTAGTCGCAAATTCTGTCGAACAGCTCACCACCAGTGGCCAGCTGGGTAACAATGTAGAATTTGTCCTTTGACACCGTTAGATGCGCCAAATCAATGTCGGATACTTAAGGAAACCCACCTTGGATTCAAACCAATCGACAAAATGGACGATGTTTGGGTGATCAAGGGCCTGCAACATCTCCAGCTCATCATAGACCATTTGTTCATTGCCTCGAACATTCTTCTTTAGAATGATCTTGACAGCAACCTTTCCAGAGCTGCAATCGGCCTCGCGGACGATACCATACGTTCCGGCGCCCAATGTTCTGCCGAATTTGTACTGCGATCTACGATGGACCCTCACCGGTCAACGACTGTACAATTGAATTTCGTGAAAATATATGAGGCAAGGAAAGGGTCGTACTTCTTCTCATAACTCTCGGGCTGTCCCGACAGCTTATTGAGCATATTGGTGACTAAGGAGTAGGATTATAGTCAGCGCCTTTGCCGCAAAATTCTCCAAACATCAAAGCGTAAAGATCAGCAGCCCAGGAGACCCAGCCGACATCATATTTTCAGACCATATAGGCACCAAGAGACCAAAAAAAGCCAAAGGCTTACGCCATTGCTCCACAGAGAGATGGTGACGGTTGACGAAAGCATTTTAAAGACTTGGGAATGCATAAAAGTGGCGAACCAAGAGAGGAGCATGCGTCAACGATAGGCGGAGCAATCAATAACGAGTGACATCTCGAGCAAACTCAATTGGCAAAACGAAATAAGAGATAAAAAACAGAAGAGACTCACAACTCATGGTGCGTGAAAGGAATTATTATCCGAAAAATAAATGTGCGGTGGGCTAAGACAACACAGGCTTGACGACGCTGATGAGAACCCCGCACGTGAGGGGGAATGGCGGGGCGGGGAGGAAGTTATGATCAAGAGACGAGAGAGGCAGAATATTATTATTATCGGTCGGGTATAGGCTGTGAGGGGAGATTAAAGTCAGTCGGTGTGAAGGGAGAAAAAAAGCTGTAATAGGAGAGAGTTAAAGAGATGCCACCAAGAGACGCAGATCCTCAAACGAGCCGTTGAAAGGCTGTCTCCATACTGCGGGTGTATGATTAGGGGGGCGGGATGAGACAGTAAACAAACGGTACAGTACCTGCTCGAGTAATTATCGGCTCGGTGGTGGCAGTTGACTTCTACCGTGAGAATAGAAAGAAGGGAAATAAAATTCAATTGAAAGCAATAGGGCTTTGCTGCGAGTGAGCCCGACTCAGGGACAGATATAAAGAGACGGAGAGGGAAAGGGAAACGTAAGTCTGGCCCCTACGATAGACTTTCAATCCCCGTGGCTGTGCTCGAACCAGAATCGTGATCTTGGATTGGCCCACCGCCCAAATTGCATGTGGAAAAAAAGGACCTCCTGCAGGCAGCAGCCACATTTCTCAGCCTTGTCCCACACTTTGGTAATTTTCGGACATGAAAGGAAGTCCAATTTTACGAGACTGCCGTTTTTGACCCCTCCCTCTTTTTTCTTCTTCAGTTTCTTTCTTTCCTTGATATCGGGCAATATCGCAGGAATCATTTAAAACGTCAATTAAGCCATATAATATCCAGTAAATATCTAGATAGGGAATCATTTAAAGACCGGTGTGCTGTTCTATCCAGAGCACAATTAACAACCCAAGATAGGCAAGTCGTTTTCGTATCAAGAGATATCCTGAGAAAGGTGGCTTGAGTCCCTAATTTATGCTGACAGCCCTGTCGTTTTAGAGTGAGACCTTTTCAGGTAGCCATTGAAATCAGCCCAATAGAGATGACCAACTCGTAGACCAAACAGGTGTCTTGGCCATCATACTTGACCAAAATGGTAGTGGTCACTGGTTATCATTGCAGGGACCAAGTGCAGGGCAACGTCTAGCTTATCTAATGACAATGTTGCACTTTTGTTTTTTTTTTATCCAATAGTTGCCGCCTGGGCGAATTTCACTAGTTTAGTCCGAAGATGCGCAAGGGCGGCCTTTATGCATGCATGCCTATCTATCATGCTCATGTAAGGGGTAAATGCTTTATAGATGGACATGACAGTTGCGAGAGTCCTACATTATTTAAGTATTCATAATCTTCTCTCAACCATGTACAGATGGTCCACCTTTGAAAAGAAAAAAGTCCATATACTTCCAATCTATTGAACTATCGCACTGTGATACGTATATAACCACTAACACCCTGCCCATACAGCCATATACCATCACATTCTCCAACCATGCATTATTCTCCAAATACCCTCTTTCCCCTGTAGCGGCTGAACAATAGCCGCACAATCATTCCGCTCAGCCCACTCTATTGGCTTCCGAGGTACGGCGCACTTATACAACCATTTATGGTTCATAAAGAAGAGAGGCACTAAACAAAGCCCGTCCCGTCTTGTCCTTCCTTCAACAATGCGATGATCATCATCTACACAATCAGGATCAGCGCCGTATTCCACTAATACTCTTACAACGTTCGTATGTCCATACTCCGCCGCCCAGTTCATGGGACTTCGACCAAAGATATCCTTTTGGTCTGAATCAACACTACTATCTAAAAGAACTTGGACCATATCAGCATGGCAATGCCGCGACGCCCATGAGAGAGCCGTGTAGCCGTTTCTGTCTTTGTCGCGAGGGTCGAAACGTCGAAACCACTGTCTAAGAGGAATCACACCACTTCTGCGTTTCCATCGTATGCTGCTGCTGACATGGGTGTGAGCTCCGCATGGGATATTAAAGATCGTGTCCTTCGGTCTGAGGACAATACTCCAGAAGTTTGCACAGGGTTTGTGGGTTTCCTTTTTCGGTTGCGTGCCATAGGACGTTGACTTTGTTCGTTTTATAGAGTATAGTATTGAATATGGAGTAGAAGCATCGGCAAACCTGGCTGAAGTAGTTGAGTGTAGATATACTGAAGTATTCCCAGATATCCAAGAGAAGTTCAACAGGGAGGCAAGTTAGGTTTGTCATGATGAGTAGATGTTGGTTTATCTACCGGAGTTTTGCATTATTGGCCTGTTTATGAAGGAAAGTAGCAGACGGTTAGATGAACACTCAGATACGTCAACTGGAAGTTTGCGCAATTTTGAGGCTTCTAACATCTACAGTTTCCTTAAAGATAACATTGCAAATGCGCTATGAATAGATCCTTGTTTATATGTGTGAGCATTTCTTTGTCAGCTGTACTGAGTTACCATCTAGGACCCATAATCTAGGAAATATAAAGAATGATATATGATGATACTTCTTTGTACCAAGGGCTAACACTTAGAATATCTAGAGAGGCGGCAGACAGCACACAATCGAGATGACAAAGTAGTCGCAGCAATATGAATAGGCTGGTAATAAACGCTGAGAATGGAATGGATTTCATCGACTAAATAGTGGGTGGAAATCGATACTTCATTTTTATGAGCCAGCTCCCTAGAGCCAAATATTTAATACTTCCAAATACTTAAAGGTAAGACTTTCTCCAATATTTTCGCTTTGTGATCGCTTAGCAGAGCACTGAATCTAGTTTCCATCGTGTGTTAATGCAGAGGGTACCTAATATTGGGTGATCTCTATCAGTGGTTATCTTTAGGCCTATAAAATTATATTAGCCTACTATGTTCATTCTATGCTCATTAACGATCTGCAATGAAGTCTATTTAGCTGCTCGGAATTTCTTCAAGGTAATGTACAGAACTCCATTCATAGAGGGGCTGACAACTGCTACAGCGAACAAGCGATTCGTAATGCGAACACTTCGTTTTGCTATGGGATATTGGAGTATAGGGTATTCGTGAATGTCCTGAGGTTATACTAGGAGTTATGTATCTTTTGTCCCGTTACTGAAATAGACCAGGAATGAATAACAAAGCATAAGGGAATCAAACAGCAAGGGTAAAACACATTTCATCATGATTACCTAGGCCGATTAAAGGAGTGTTGCATTGCACTTTATCAGTTGGAAAGAGTGGTCGTGAGTTTCAGATACGGAATGAATGCTTGAAGTTGATATATATATATATATAAGGCGGAAGCCGGGGATCCCTTTTTCGAAGTCAGTAGAATCTGTTTTCATGACTTGTCAACCATGGGAATAAATACTCTGCTTATTCTTCTCTCCCTGTTACCCCACAATAGTCTTATTTATATTTCTATCCTAACCTCAACAAGTTCAACCCTTCAACTTGTACAAGCCAGGCTAGAGGTCACGTCCATTCCACGCTGGACTTGAACTCATGTTACAGCCCGAGGAAGGATATGATATTCCAGCCTGAACCTAAAGTAAGTGTGGTCTTGATAATTTCGTTCTTCTTACGCTAGGGATCTGACTGACCCGTGAAAATCGGAAAAGGACTTGAGGAATGCAAACAAAAAGGGATAAACAGGTTTTATCTCGCTGAGATATTCGGGTTGGTGTGGGGTTTTGTTTGTACTACCGACAACGTATATTATCTATCAGTCAAGTTAGGTGAGTGTATGCCCAGCTACACATATGTTGTTTTCTAATATATAAAGTGTAGCCGATGTTATCACCGATCACGATGGTATCCTGGGTTGCTTTGAAACCCTCAGAGAATATAGGAAGTGCGAAATGGATGCAGAGTCTCATAGATTGTTGTGAGTTCTGCTATCCACCTTTTGAAAAACTCAATTGGAGAGTAGGAGGGATGTGGATGGCAAATATTATGTACGTCTAGCACTAAGAGTGTATCGCCCTCACGGCTACGTGAAATGACTTGCCCGCTATGTCATCATATATTCCGTGTTATTCGTGGAACCGTGTTAATACTTGGAAGAATGCGGGTGACCCAGCGTATGCACTTTATGGGGAATAGCTCTAATACTTAGTTTCGCAAATAGCTCATTAAACTTGTAGAGTATTACTAGCTGAATCTTTTACAGGATACAGCGTATGTATCAATGGGCCAATAGGGCCTAACTGGCTTGATGTACGGCTGTAAGACAAAATAAAGCGACGAGAAATGCCAAAATATATGCACCCCTGATATAGAGGGATACCGGTTCACATTATAGTTATATGTCTCCCAAGGCCTTATAATGGTAAGGGTCATGTTGGATTTATGCCTTAATGGAGCGATTTATCAAAGCGCGCTGAAAGCAAAGGATTCGCAAGACCTTAATTTTGGCATCAATATGTTAGAGATGCTCTACGGATACATAATTTCCTCAGCTTAAACACTTACTAAAGGAGGGGTTTATGATGCCGTTCATTTTTAATGATTGCCCGAAGACCTAGAATTCAAAAGTAGTGTTGTATCAATGTGAAGAACATTCCAACATTTACAAAGCCCCGGGCTATCTTAATCTCCCAATAAGGATAGTCGAGTCTGCTAACTGTCAAAAGACTTTGGCCATTGGCCTTTCATAGTCACGTAATTAACTAAGGTTAAGTTAGGGCGGACAGGGCCAGTTTAATTGCAATCGCATGTCAAAGAAGAGTACAAAACAGAATCTCTTGGACAGAAACCGGACAACACCCAAAAAGGTCAAAGCAACAAAAGGGGTGCAGAGTATCCCATGGACTGAAGAAACATAAATGGCCCGCTTGAGTTCTCTTCAAGGTCGATTTTTCTTCCATTCAGCACTACCAAGTTCTTCCTAGCCGGCAATCAGGTATCAGAATTGATTGTCGTTCCTTTCTCCCTGTCTGCGTTGGCTACTGCCAACCATTTCGCCCAAAGCTGCTCGGACATTGGGGCACTTGCCGATTGCCGCACTCGCACCACAGAATGCAAATACGACGATCGGCTCCTCCTGAATTCTCGCGCAGAACAAAGGCATACAAATCAGCATTGGATTTGAACAATTGCCTTGAGACTACCCCTGACGCCATAATTCCTAAGGATAAGTATGTATACCACGAGGGATTCAAGAGCGTATAGCTGACAGGTTGTAGTGGTGATTTCTTCGAGAGCATGACAGACTAGACTGTTACTTACAGGAGAAGACAACACTATATTGCAGGTATAGCCAGCCAACAGGTAGTACTATGGGTCATTCTAAGTATGAATTCTCAAGGCTCCATATTCCTGTCAGGTCTAACTGGAGGGTTGCAGATGATATTGTACACAAGGACGGTCTTTTGGGTTGCTTTGATCACCACGCTGCACCTATGGACGTGGTTTGGTGAAGTCCCTCTTAGAATTGAAGTTGTGGCCAAATCCATGAGCCTAGATTGGATGGGATTCAAGAGTAATGGATTTCGGAATATGTCTTTGTACACTAAACTGGTCAAGTGTGTTTTAAATTGTGCTTGAATGGGAATGCTATTGGATTGGCTTCTTAGCAAAAATCGTATCTTGTTGAGAATCCAGTAAAAGCAGCGCTCAACGAGAAAGTAAAGCCTATTTCTATTTACTGGGATCAACCTCTGATCTCTAAAAATAGCTTCATATTGGTAAGGCGTCCTACGGGACGAATTCACGCATGTGGTAGGAAATCGGGCGATGTGCCCTAATCAATCCCTAACAAAAGAGACTGAATACAGCATATCTCCCCCAAACCGTGAGCCCCGCCAACATTAGCGGATAACTTATTTCGTCGAATCGAAAGGGATCTGGCCGGTCTGTTCTTTGGATCAGTTTAATGATGGGTACAGGACATGCCCGGTTGCCCCACTGTCAACGATAATATGAGGCGGTGTCTGACTCTGCTCCTCAACTTTGCTTCTTACTTTCCTATAGCGGCCACGCGTTTTCAAAGAAGGAATGTCCTAAGATGAATAAATGCTGGACATGTAGATACTGCCAGTTGGACCTGCGTTATGAAAAGAATCTTATACTTGCAAGTGTGCGGATGGGCAATGCTTTGCTTCCTATGGAAAGGATCTTTAAGGTGAGGCTCAATAAGTGATGAACTCCAACCTTTGATAGTATATTTTCTAACGAGACCAAGATGACTTTGAGGAATGAGAATGGCTACCTGCGTTGTTTCGAAGAGAAGCGGACGCTGATAGAGTAAGATGATCTTCGATATTGAGAGGAAGAAGCTTCGAGGCAGAATGTTTATCCTGGGCTACTACGCCTGCCCGAGGAGAATTGCTATGCTATGATAGTACATGACATGTTGATGCGATTTTCTTACGTACGGATTGGATTGGGCTTTGTTTTACCTATTGCAAAATAACCGAAATTCTGATTATGAACACAACCCGAACAAGCACCCATGGAAGTAGATCTACATATTAAATCTGTGATTTCTTTGAGTCTTATTTGTATTTTGTATGTACCTTATACATAAAGTATCGTCAATAAAAATTAATATTATGTTAGTATGGGGGAGGCGTAAAAGAATAACAGTTCATGCTTAGGCTAGAGTGTGGCTGCGTCCGCTTCTCGAGATTGCTGTAAAAGTCTCCTCCGGCCTGTTCATGCTGAGCCCGTCTGCTAGGCAATTATTTCTTCTTAAAAGAAGACGCACATAGCGAGAACATATTAGCAAACTTCCGTTTGCTCGAAAATTGCAAGCATGCTAGGCTTCGTCTAACCGGGATGGCCGATGTTCGAAGGGATAACCGTTATGTTTGATTCCAATTGCTGAATCTATGAAAGGCGTATCAACTGCGATCGCAACGAATAGTCTGCTTTGCGGCGCCCAATTTTGATATATGCATATATACAGGAGACATCACTCTCCGCGGGAAATCGAGGGCACTTTACTCGCGTTTTGGCTTTTTGATTGGGTTGCCCTGCTCGTCCACGAGCCCCTTCGCGCGCATCACCTTGAGGGCATCATTCAGAGGATCTAGCGCTGGCTCCGGTGCCCTGTGCGAGCCATAATAATTGTCGGCCCAGGTGAAGTATTGTCCATAGTTGACGGTGAAGTACATGTGGTGCAATGTGTGGTGCGCGGGGCTGTTGATGAACTTTTCAGTCCAATGACCCGTAATCATGTCACCGTCGTGAATCAGGATGGTCCAGATCTGGACCGCAATGAAGAGGACCATGTACAGATATCTCTGCATTGGGCAAATGAAGACGAAGACACTTTCGAGTATTAGACATGATCGTAATCGAGGGTAACGGGTGACGAGAGATTGGGGGACTTACTGGTATGGAAGAGACTGCACATATCCATCAAGCGGGTGGAAAGCCAGTGCAGCCCATGGAGTGGGAACTATTATGTCGTTAGCGTTGGCCACTGCAGGTACCGGAAGGCAAGAACCCTGTGCAAAGTCTTACCGATCCATTTATGATGTGGCTTGTGAATGTACTTGTACACGCTAGGGTGATGCTCCAAGCGATGGATCCAGTAAATTCCAAAATCATTGAAAGCCATGTACAGGATTGACGAGATTATCAGCCAGGGCCAGCCATAGTCGTCAACATTGGCGTAAAGCAAGCTTTTACCGCGCACCTCAGCCAGGAACCACGGCAAGGTCAGAATATTAATGATTGGAACAGCGGCCAGCGATGATTTGATCTCCTGAGAGACTTGATTCGGCAAGAAGCGAGGATGGTACTCGAGCCGTCGGTCAAAGATAAAATAGTAGGATAGAGCACTGAAGAAGAGGTAGAGGAGCGTCGCGCCGACTTGAGTGATGACGAGAATCGAGATGATTTGACGATAGATGTTGTCGCGTGGCCATAAGGAGGTAGGCGCCGAGAGACTGGAATCTGTGGAATTGGTCAGGTCGACGCCAGGATAAGGTAACGCCCAGGCATAAGCCTTATCCAGAACGAAGGGATCGAGAATATCGAGAGCCACATCCATTGTCTGCCATTCACAAGTGCAGACACAAATAGTTAAACGAGCGACGAGGACGGAGGGCAACAGGAATTGAGGCGAGACCGACGGGGGATCAGATAAAATTTATTATATCCACTAGATTGTGGTTCGATGTCGGATCAGGAGGGAAATGTTGCCGGGGGTTCGGGAGAAGCGACTTGCAGGACTGCGCCAGGGGTCAATTTTACAAGTGGGGCGGGCTTAGCAAGGAACTGGCCTAGATTAGTTTCCGTGGCAAAATTGTACTTGGTACTTAAGTAGTAAGTTAGTAGTAACTTAAGACTCAAGATAAGTAAAGTAGTAATATGTAAGGTAACATTATATTATCGATCCATCGCCGAGATCGGATGGTTAAAAAAAAAGTTACTGAACTTCACTCGACTCGACCCACACGGTGTGAAGTACCGTGCTCTGGGTCCCTCGAATGCGCAGTGAAAGCGATAAATGTACGCATCGTGCAGTCATCTTGGAAAGAGCGAGTTAATCAGAAAGTGCTCCAGCAGAGTATGAGTAACGAGACACGCTCAAGAGATGTATGGCAAGAGAGAGGGAGGGAGCGGTGTGAGTGATTGCCAAGGCGGTGAGCAGCGACAGTACGGTCTCAAGTTAATCTACCATCCCCTCTCGAATTTCTTCAACATTCCCTCCAGAATCTCCTGTATATAGATCCATAAGATCATTACTTTCTAAAGAATGACCGACCCTCTCGCCATCCTGCCTCCGGAGATTGTCTTGCGTGTCTTGGAATTCTCCCCAATCTCGGCCCTCGCATCCCTGACAGCAACATCCAAGGCCTGGCACAGATTTATCGACGTCACCCATCGCGAAGCTATTTATGCCTCCGAATCCAAAACCGACCAACCGTCCGGAGGCGGCGCTCGTGATTTCGCGTTCCTATCAGATAGCACCAGCTTCTCGAACCTGTTCGAAGATACGGCGTCATGGAAGGATCTGTGCAAGCGACAGACACTGCTCGCCCGTAGTTGGGCGGAATCACATCCAATCAGTCGGGAATCAGTGTTACAAGTCGGCAATGACCCCGTCTGGCGATTCCGTGCCGACTTCAAGCGTCGGTTTTTCGTTTCCACGTCTCACGCTGGTGGATTGTACGTCACTGACATGGACACGGGTCGGATTCTGTGGCGACTCCCCTCCACGATAGATCATGACGAGAATGCGGTTCGTCCATACGCACACCTGGAATATCAGGATGGGATGGCCGTCTTTGATCGCGAAGGCGATGCGCTTGAGGTCTGGCAGGCGGGTCTGGAAGGTACAGAGCGTGGGGAGTTCCGGCGCATCGCCGTGTTGAATCACGATTGCCAGACAAGAGGCTTTCAGTTGTCTTACTGGACACTTTGTGTGGTGTCTAATAAAGGGCAGGGTTTTGTATATGACATGACACAACGACCCCCCAAGCTGACCACGCATCTTCGGATTGAGCCGGACGCCGTTGGTCATCTTGACCAGAGCGAGGACGCTGTGATTTATTCTATGGGATCGAGAGGCTACCATGTCCACGACAAGGCATCAGGCGAGTTCTTAGGCTCGTTACAGCCGTCGCATTGTACGGACAAATACCATATTCGCCCGCCAGTTGTCACTTCTCGTTCAGCAACCGCGGCGTTGGCGGGAGCTATGCGACTCGGCCCCACCCATCGATTATATCCTCTTGGCCCACCTCGCAAAGACACTCTGGTACCGATCGACATTGCCAAAGGCCCTCTCCAACCGCCGAGCGATCCTGAACATGTCTGGCATGGCGAGGATGAATGGGGAGCTGGGATGCTGCACGGAGACCTTTTTGCTGGCTTTTCCCGTGCCGGTCGTGTTTTCGTGTGCTCCGACTGGCGTAAGGCCCTTCACAGCCATACCACACTCGCAGCGCACAGTTCCCTCCTCGAATGCGAGTCAGACGGGACGAGCTTTGATCTAGGCGGGTGGTTGTCAGTGCGCAACCACCGCCTGATGTTCGAGATCCAAGACCGGATTTATGTCGTTGCGCTCGATGATCACAACAGGGTTCAAGATCTCCATCGTCCCGCCCGCGGTTCGTATTCGCTGCTCACTAGCTCCGCGCCGCAGCTTGCTGTGCCGGTCAGTTTCATGGCACTGTATGATGATGCGATTATGACTACTTACACTGTATGTACCACGCTACCGAACACGAAGACAAACATAGGAGCGATAAGGCTAACATTAGAACCTATAGACCCTCGGCTGGCGCCAATCCCTTCCGGGCCTCCCGGGTGACTTGCATCCTGGACAACAGGACGGCCACGCCCGTATCTTCCCTACCAAAGCCATTCGCATCGTTAGCCTAGCCCCAGACCTTTCCAACAGCAAGTTTGCCCCAGCAGCCAATGTTGGCGAATCCCAAGATCCAACCACCGGAGACGAAGGCCTGTCGGAGCCGAACGAAGCTCATCTACTGGCAGATGAGGCTTGGGACTCGACTCCCGGGGTAACACAGTTGGTTCATCTGCTCGCGAATGAACTTGATGAAGATGACGATGGGCTGGAGGTTATGGTAACGGACCCCCGCGACGGCGATATTGATGAGGGGTGGGAGGATGAAGACGAGGAGGAAGATGAGGAACATGGGCATGAGCATATTGGTGCACATGCCCATGGGAGCGCCTAGGTTTGAACCAAAGTTCCATACCTCGGATTTCCTTTTCCCTATTGATAAGCGGCGCATCTGGTACCACTAAAAAGGTCATGCGTGCATCGTTAACACTAACTGGATACAGCGGACAGAATATAATAGATAGGAGATAAAACGCCGACGAGTCCTATCAGGGAGTGCCCAAAGCAGGTTGTCGTCACGGGCCATAGGCTTATTGTTACGACCGATTGGCCCGCTACTCGACAACTAAGACAAAGATATGATTAAATGTAAGTACATTCTAGAGGGCCAGGCTAAGTGAAAGTGATAATAATAGCCTGACTATCTCAGAACTACCGGCAACTGTTGCCAATGCCTTTCTGACACTAATAGACCAGAATCTCAGCAGCTAGAAGTCACTCGAGGGTCCTGCCGATGCCCAGGTCATGGAACATAAGATCTACGGACAAGGTACAGGTATTTGAGAGCAGCTGATGCTCACTCATGACGCATAAACATCCAAACAAATAAAGACTTTCTAAGTTTACTAGAATTCTGTAATAACACCGGCTTTGACGATGAAACACCACGGAGCAGTCCGAGGTGTGCAAAGACCTTTCACTTCGCAATCTCGGGACACTGTAAGCAGGGGTTCCCTTAGCGTTTGACCTTGACTACAAAAAGAATATATATCAATCACTCCGGGTAATAATCACTGACCTGTCCTATCGATAGCTATGAACCAAGTATCGGCTTCATTCTTTATTTTTTTCAAATCAAACTGACCCCGTGTTTCTTTGTATCAGTCTCAATTGACAAAACCGGGAAAGGGTTCTACGAGTATCAGAAAGCAAAGTAAGCAATACTTGAGACCCATGAAAATCTTCAAAGGAGCTTCTGTAGAACTTTACATCCATACTTCCCGCACAAGGATATGAGAGATAAATAGCCTGACTCGCCCCTTCAAATGCACATATGTACTTTGATACCGCATATGTATTCTGCAGCAATCTCTTGTAGGGAGAAAGATATAACCCTACTCTGCTTACGTATTCAGATACACCCAACTGAAACCGCACCAATCTTGTTCATCAACTGTTTTCTATAGATACTTGCATTGCCAATGATGCTGTCGCTTATTCTTCTGCTACTATGGGTGTCCGTTGCTGTCCGCGGCAGCTTTCCCAAAGAGCATTGCGACCGTCTATTAATTGTGGATCTGAACACCGTAAAGGCAAATTGTAACTCATACGGTGCGTATGGAAGAAAGCATAGCACCTCGGATTTGAACCGCTGTTATGCCAATAGTGCAGACATGGAGTTCTTAGAGCACAAGTTTTGGTATTTTGCTCCTGCCCTACTACACCATAACGCCTCAACGCTCGTGACTAACAGATACTAGGGGATTTGCCTTTGATAATGGCTGTAAAGAGTATGGAATAACAGATAATTTTTTTATGGCGTGTCAGGGTAAAGATGGTGACAAGTTTGTCCCGAAAAAGGCATTTTTGGGTAAGTTCAATTAGGGATCAACAGCTGCCACTGGAACCACGACCTCAAACGTGGCATCCAGCACAGCGTCGACCGTGAACTCGGAATCCGTAGTCTCACCAGAAGCTCCGACAGCCAGGCGTGGAGCATAGTTGGTCGGTAGTATCAATGAGGGATACTACAGGGATCACTGCGATAGAGACCATCGCTTGAAGGAGAGTTGTACGTCTCATCTATGGCTGTAAGCATGATGTTGGATATAGACACGTTAAAACATATCTCTGCCGTACTTTTCCTTCATCCCCACTAAATTCCTTAATCTATAGCAAATATACTTCTGACCGATTGGGGAATGCATGCTTACAACCTTTCTGACATAGTATATATACAATGAACGTTTGACCTCAACTACCGGAAAGAGACCTAAGGTCTACCATCCCTTGTTTCTGTCCCCCTACTGGTAATATACTGATTAAGCACCTTAAGCCTTTATAAGCTCCAGGTAGGAGCCATCCTTTCATGTCCATCCTAAGATCCTTTTTATCTAGTTACGATGTTCTCACCTGACAAGCAAGACGCCAATGTCACAACTTCGACAAAGCAAACAACACCCGACACACCAACACGGCACATTGGAAGGAAATCCCGTCCCACCTGCCACAAAGACGCCGAACTGACTATGCTCGGTCTACCAGGTTGAGAAAAGAGATAAATATTTTAAGTCGCCATGTGCTTGGAACTCATCTAAAACACCTATGCCCCCCTCTCTTTAACGCATATACTCAACTCAACCATAAATTAACCCCATGTACGAATCTTCTAGAGCCAAAGATGATATTTAAATACCTTCACTTGCTACTCTGGATAACTTTCACTATCTACGTCACAGCTGACAAACTGGATACACGCAGAAACCTAGGCCATACCCGGTACCAACCTGAAATTGAACGCATACTGTCCGATCCACTCTAGAAATGAAGCATTCCATTATTTCTGGACTTGAACCTGTGATACGCCAATGGAGACTATATAAGTTGCAGTGTAAGCCTAAGTATGAACCCACATCCATTGTTCCCTTTGAACACTAGGAGCTAACAAATTCTAGTGGGAATGCATTTAAAAATGGCTGCCGGGACTGCACGGTCTCACATGACTCCAAACTAGGTTGCCAGTGCTCGCATGCGAATTGCTCGCTTCGAAAGAAGGAGGCGCAATTAGGTGTGTATTCTTTGTGATCTATATCTTGGCGATATCTGATTGTGCCGAAGACCAGGATTCATGATTTGAAAACGGTGGACTTCCATGTCCCCCATCCAGTGCTGCTAAGACGAACTTCGATGTGCCAGCCAGCATGTATTCCTCGACAGGTTTGTCAGGAAGCGTGGTGTCAAGCACGAAGGACACAACTGTGCTAACAACTGCGTCAACAAGTGCATCTACAGCCGAGAAAGAGGCAGTGATAACACCCGTGTTATCCGACACGAACTTGCATGCAAGGCGATAGAACCGACGGAACTTTTATCACCAGGTCAAAAAAAACAAGGCTTGTATCCGACTTAGCCGAGTCTGCAACAGTGCACGCCATACGCGAAAGTCTCATCAAAGATGGGGCTAGCAGCAAGAGATAACGCAAGATCATTTGAGGAGACCTTCCATGATAGCATGTTCGAAGATAAATACATACTAGGATCAACTTGCGATCGCTGCTTCAAGCGGGTTGAATTACCTACACAATTAGAAAAAAACATGAGTACACGATTTTTCCTCTTTACATGCATTTCTAAAGTGCTCTAATTTTATTGTAATGTAATCATACCGTATAAGATATCGTTATCATCTTCACAAGGCATGATATGACCGGTATTGGAGTATCAGGAGGACGACAAGTATTTGATATCTCGGTACTAAGATTCAATCACAGGGAGCCTCCAAAACGCCCTCAGATCCTCCTTCAGCTTCAGACAAGGCCATCCCAGATGAAACTCTGCAGCTGATAGCAAGTCCAAGAGAACCTTGGTCTCGCTAGGGTCATGAAATAGTTCACCGCACAACCCAATAGCCAAGCCAGCAGTCGATCGCGTCGCATGAAACTCAGGGTTCGTCAAAGCGACCCCACATATGACTCGAACGCACTCTTGTATTCTGTCATCGTTATCCTGCATACGACGAATCCGACCGATTCGAAGTGCAGACGCACCGGGATCAGCCGCCAGGAGGAGAATACGACATAACTCCAAATACAGACGGGCTGCAACGTGGCAATCATTACAATACCAGATCTTGGGGAAGTAACTAGACGGTCGATTTTCTGATTCGCTGTATATCGGCATGAAGGAACTTGGTCTGCTGCGTTCCCAGTCCTGAACATACTGCATCAGATCGTGCCAACGGTCCTTGGTTCTGTGGACGACGTCTCCATATGCGAAGTCGGTTATATCGGCTGAATGGGCTATAATTCGGTATGTCCACATCGCTTCGGATGTCGGCCCTAGTGATGTGTCGATATTGCAGTGATCGGTAAAAGAGCCCACTGGTCTTTGGGTCAGGTTAGCGACAAATATTTCTTGTTGCAAGACCACGATCAAAGCTGCATCCGTGAAGCTTGATGTGCAGATGTTTCCTTCTTTTATGCGCACGGGGATACGGGCAGATAGGTTATGCGGCTCAACAACCTCCCTAGGAGAAGGTTCTATGTATCATTAACTTAGTTATGTTTTGCTAACAATCGAGATATGTTTTCAATAGATGGCAGGTACCTGTCGTTTCTTCGGGAAGACGAAGTATCACCGCTGATGCGACTAGAGACTCGTCTAGTGTCTTCTCAGAGTTATCGAGGGCTGATATTAACGACTCAAGGCAGTATTGTTGGTACTCGTCTGCGATTAACCTCTGACGCTCTGAGCGTGAGCGCTGATGTCTGGCAGCTACTTCTAGAACAGCATACAGAAGGATAGGGTTAGTCGATGCAGAACTCGCAATGTAGGAGAAGAAATGCCGGCTTGGGTCGCAATAGTCAAACTACGGATAGACGATTAGCAATTACGAGTAGCCAAATTGCAAAACCTACCTACCCAAGGAGGGAGAGAGGTCATGAAGTATTTAAAAAGAGATGCCTCATACACGCTACCGAGCGGGGAGACGCGAGATTGAGGTCTCATAGGGCTTAATCTTGGTACAGAACTAGACGCCTGTGAAGGCGAAAGCTGAAGCGACTGTTGATAGCCATTCTGGCCCTCTGTTGTAGGATTGAATCGACCATTACTCTCAAGGTCCGCCTCACTTTGGCTAGTAAATCCAACACTGTTCTCTACAGAATACTCGACAAAGCGGAACATGCCATCCTTGCGGCTTGTGCATAACTTATTTGCCCGCCGGCAGCCATGGCAAGGGCTACCTTCCGAGCCTCCTTTGCCTGGGGGTATGTCAGCCATCTTGTTGATTTGAATTGTTGGTTAAGTGACTTACATCGTATATGACGGGTCCGGCACCGGTCATTGGCGTGTTATTAGCACTTTTCCAGGCCATCCACGCATGTTATATGACGGGGATATAGAAAACACTACACACCAGGCCTTATGACGTCCCAATCGGGTTCTACTAGTAGTCTGAGTTGGAGGTTGGATGTTACCGCCCATAGAGGACTAGACTAGAAGAGCCGTAGAATAATGGCAAGAAAGATAGACAAACCTGTCATGAACGTCGACGACTTGTACTTGGTGTTTCATCATCACTGGGTACTAGGCACAGCGCCATATCCCGATAGCAGGTAAATTAAGCAGCTAGCCTTCCTCCTTGTCTCCGCTTATACCGCTAGTCGGTCAGGGACATTAGTATACGTGGATAGAAAGGAGCGGACCAATATTTCACATTTCTAGAGTCGTGGTAATAATGATAACGAGGGAGACGAGGAAGCGGATTAGGATATAATAAGCAAGGATCTAAAGACCCTTTACTACAGTTAGGTAATAGAGATTGATCTGAGATATATAAAAGGTCACTACAATAAACCCAAGCGGTAAATATTCTACTGGAAAAACTTGTTACCAAGGCTAATAAGATCACCGTAAAATATTTCTAATATCCGAGGCGAAGGAGCCAGTGTTCGATACTATAATACTTATTATTATTATAACAATGCTTGATAATATATTTAAGAGTAATATTTATTCTATTGAGAAAGTTTTCTTTGGTTATGTACTTGCTCCTTGACGCTCTAAACTGTCTCAAAATTTATAAGAATCAATTGAATGATCCAGTATATCGATAGCCTATCTTGGCTGGGCACGGCATTAGGACGCATGATATAAAGTCACTGAAATATTATATATGCCTATATTATCTCTAATGTTTTGAGTTTGGCTATTGGTATAATTTAGGCTACAAGACCGTACTATCTACGGCAAGGCACGGGCGAAGCTGTCAATAGTAAGTTATTCCAGCTGCCTTTTATTTTATATTTCTATCTAGGCATTGCTGAATAGCTATTAATTTATCCAACTTCTAGATATTATATCACTCCTATTGCTCTAGTAAGTTATAGAATGTACTTATACCGGTGTCTTCCAGGAGTATACAAACTAGCGAGTCCAGTGCCATAACTAAACGGTATTTCTTGGGATACCTTCAGAGAATATATTAATAAATATTCTCAGTTATTATATCGATTCTCGTGCACTGGCTTATTTTAACGATCTTGCTTCTACATAAAGAGCTTTAATCTCTTCTTATTCAGAAATAATTCGTCTTAAAGAACTACGAGATTCTTTAATTACGGAAGCGAAAGAGCTTTATGGATCGTGTAAGGATATACAGTAAATATAAAGATTAGAGAACTTTAGACTAAGGCGGAGGCTAGCCTGCGCTGTGTAAAGACAAAATAAAAAAAAAAGAGCCTTTAACGCTGCTTGTGAAGAGTTCTTTAACACAAACAATATAAAAGAAATAAATAAGCAGCTCGCCCGTCTTGTATAGATATCGATAATAATGGATATCTCCCCGAATCTGTTATTTATAAGCTGGAGAAGTAAAGACGCGTAGCAGATCTGATAAGGCTCTCTCCTAAGGATCTCTTAGAGAAAGAAGCTCTAGGCTACTGGTATGGTTTCGTCTCTAGCATCCCGCATAACAAAATACGCTCAATGGAGCTTGGAAAGTGGAGATGATCGAGGGTATGGACCCGGATGTGTATTACAATCAATCAACACCTGCCAGGGATATAGTAGCAACCGAACTGAATAAAATACCCAAGTACAACTAGCTATTTCAGGGCATTAGTATATTTGGCAATCAGTGATGATCAATTCATTGGCGTGGACATCTAAGCATTCTTTTTTAGCTTCTTATCTGGCAGCATTCACGTAGCTGAAGTCCTATTCCTTTCACTTAAATAGGGCATATGCTGTGCCCTACACTGATGTACGTACATGCACTGCTTCACAGGGTGTTGCATCCTATACTCTCAACCTTCTTTCCATGAGAAACTCATAGTCAGGCATTGCCTCCCGCACATATATCTCAATCATCCTCCCGGGACCCTCCCCAAACTCCTCTACCCACTGCCTCGCACTTTCATCCAGGTCGACGCTCTCCCTGGTGGCCTTAGAGGCGTCAATCCCAGTAGACCCATCGATTGTCGATCAGAATGCCATAATCCCCGGTCGTCGTGTTTCCTTGTCCGTGTCCCACTGATACCGCAGTTGAGTCGTATCTAAGCACAAAATGTCGCAGAACCGGGCTACCACCGCCGGCTTGGTCATAATATCATCTGCATCTAAGACAAGGGGAAACATGGTCTCTGTCTCGACCGAATTATCAGTCGCATTGAAGTCTCTTTCGTAGAATTCGTACAGTTGCGGCTCCAACGCAGCGTCATAATGTTCCGACACATGCGTTTTCCCTGCTCAGAGTGGAGATACTGGTCACCATCGGCTTTGCGTGCAGCACGATAGTACGATGGAAAGCAAGCGCAGGGTAACGGATCAAGAACGTCGGTTTTAGTGTACTGAGCAAGCTGTCTGGGAGGAGGGTCTCATTGTACCGCGATTGATCTTCCTCGCATTGCGGTGACGGAAGCGACTCCTTTATACTGCCTCTCCCGAAAACGAATCTGGTCTGTGCAACAGGATTGGTGAGGATATGCGTGTGTTCTTTGAAGAACGTCTTCTTGTCTTGGTTCTCTGCATTGTGGATGTACTGAGTCAATGCTCGAACACAACCGTGCATGCATGCAGTTTTCTTCGTGCGTTGGCCACTTGTTAGGTCGTCAATATACTACAACGCCCATGTCGTAGCAGAGATGGTTGAACAGCGCAAAATATTAACCGCCATCGTTGTAGAAGGCAAAGTCAGGCTGGGCGTCGAGGCTCAGGGTCTTAACAAGAAGATTTGAGCCCGTTCGAGGGTAAGCGAGGAGGCAAAATGGCGAATGATGGCTGGATCTTGTCATCTTAGTATTCAATGCTGGTGCCGGACGGTGGAGGGAAACGTGCCGTGAAGGGGAGCGGTCAGATTATATTTACTCTGCCCTTGGGATCCATCACTACTGTATACGGATAGAAGGCTGTGACCTACACCCCTTGCCACAAAAATGGACATTCCCGACATGGGATGTAATAGTTGTATTGTACTTCGTGTACGTTCTTTATGTTTCTGGCGCAATGAGTGATTTGGCGGTCAACTTGAAACCATCTTTCAATATAGACAACTTGGCCGATTTTTTCTGTGGCAAAGTGGTGTATTCTATCCTGAGTGTGCAACTGCTGCAGCAGTCGGTCCATAATTTAACACTGTACACAGCCCGAAGTCGAGGATGCCGCCAATGCATTTGTCATGCTTGCTAAGAACGCTAGTCAGTGTATGACCATCAACAGGTTGGAAGCGCCTACCAGTCGCTCTCGTGATAGACGCCATTGGGTATTAGAATTGGAAAACATAATTTAACCATCGCGCTTGAGCTGTATCATGTGCCGTGTGTTATTATGTTAATAATTATGGCCCGTCCTTCAACCCCTCTCACATATGAAGCAAATATTTCCCGACTTGTGTGCCTTGGTAGAGCGAAGGATCTTGCGGATGGAAGGCGTGTGCCAACCAGTTGACGTCAGCCAGCTGGCAAAACACGTTTCCACAACGCGGTTGAGGATTGGTTTCGCTACACTGGGCGTACGTTCGACGTTACAATATACGACCATTTCAAAAGGGAATATGCCAAGTGAGACCGGAAATCCAGCACAGCAGAGATTAACCATCAGCTCGAGGCTCATGGGGGTATCTCTCAGAATTGTGCGAAGTGTGGGGATATACCTGATGAACCGCTAAGGACCTTTTTCCTGAAGAGGCCCGCCTGTCAGGGACCAATACTGAGTTAAAGGAGAATACAGGACGGAGCCCTCGCTGGGGGATTCAAAGTCCAATATGCCCAGAACTTTGCCAGTATGGTTGGAGGTGTAGTTGGACATGAGGGTGAAGGTTATTGTTGATGCGGCATCTTCAATTGATTCCAGAGTGAGGTTGATATTGATTGCCCCCAGTGAAATTAGACCAACTAAGTAAAAAGTAACCTACTAGTATCAATGATATCAATCTTGATAGCAGAGGCCGCACTAGTCACCAGGCCGGCGGTAGTGAGTCTTTTCAACCGCATGGTTTCTGGTAGAGGTGGTGTATGTTGTGATAGGTAACGCCAAATATTAGACTGATAGAGGAGCCAATATCTTATAGATTAAATTACCAGCTACCAGGGCGCTAAACCTTAGGACCATCAGCCGGAGAGCTCTAGGTCAGAAGGGGGCGAGAGTAGAGAAATGATTTCGATTTAGTAAATGTACCCGATCTGCACTCCATCGGATCTGAATTTTTATTTTCAGTTCGGTTATGCTTGATATAGTTAAGCCCTATCGGGGAAGAAGCATGCTGGATGACCCACTGCGAGACTGAATCAATGAACATGAAGTTTGGGGACCAAAATGTGAAGTTAACATAAAGAAAAGGAAGTACTCGAACACAGCCGCCGATAATACGGAGTACTCATACATAGAAAACCTAAATAGTACCAATCACCGTATGATAGGATAGTATGAACCGTCATACTAGTCATCCCCAAAATCATGACTCCCCTAGATACAGCTCGTCCAAAACAGAACTGCAATAGGCCTTGTAGTATTCTTCTCCTTTCCATCCTCTTATCGCAGAGCGCAGTCCTACCGTCTTCCACCCTTCAGCCCGCAGTCGCTCAATGCGCTGCTGCTTCGTCTCTTTGGTCGGCGATCGTCTGGGAATATTCACCTTCTTTTCATCAAGTGCTTCGCCATCTTTGATTGGGCTAAAACTCCAAAAAGATGCCGATCGCTTGATCGTCTTCGCCATTTGGCGCGCATGCTGCTTCTCCTCAATCTCATCAATCAGCGCGTGTATTAAACTAATACTGCTGTCGATTTGAGACCGCAGGAATCGGATGCTGCTATTGTAGCTCCTGATGTAATCTGTGTATTGCGGGTTTGCAGGTGTGAGTTTCTTAGTGAAGTCAATGAGCAAGCTATCCGTGCACAGTCGGGAATCTCTATTGTTCAGCTGTGCATCTATCCGTCTATTGTGCTCGCTGGTGGCTCCACGGGGAACGACCTTAATCGGAAGAGGGGGAGGCAGGTGAGTCCTTGCGAGTCTCTCGCCATGAGTTGTAACTTGACCGGTATCACAGGCTAGCGTCATGTGTTGGGGCAGCTTCTCAGAAGGCCTGTTCACTCTCAAGGGAGGTGGAATAAGTACAAAGTTCGTTTCCGCGTCAGAGAGTGCTCTCGTAGCATCAATGTCTGTGTCCCCGCAGGAGCCATAGTCTGAGATAAACGGGTCATCGTCCTGCCACTGTATAGTTTTGTCAATGATATCTGTAATGCTCGTGACAAGGCTGGATACGGTTGAAGGACTGTCCGTGAATTCAGAGGAGCATTCTCCCAGTGAGGGGAAATTCGATTCTTCCGAAGGTCGGCTCGAGAGAGGAATAGGAGAGGGCAGTATGGTGCCACAGGTGCTGAAATGATCCAACGCACATTGGAGCAGTGGGATCTTGGTTCTGGAGTACTTATGAGCGGCCCGCCCCATCTCCTCATAGCTGACAGCGCTGTAGAAGTAAAGGTATGTCATATAGACGGGATGGAACTGCTCACTGTTAGTTCTATGTTCTAACGGGAGGAGCCATTTGTACGCACTGGCTCCCTCGCTTGCCCAATCAATTCTGTGGCCTGGGCAGCGCACTGTTTGTACTGACGCTGAATATACAGAGCTTTGATATTCTTCAGAGCGATTTTCCACTGCTGAGATGATCTAGGCACTGACGGGGGCTCAAAGAGCGACATCCGGCTGGCGATAGAAGCCATCTTGGCTACAGGTTGGAGGATCCGAGATGGACAATGAGGACAAAGGGAGGAAGGTCACATCTCTGATCACAGCAAAGAAAAAGAGCGTGTTGCCGTCGAGAAAATGACGTGACGTGACGTGAGAACTAAATCTGTCAAGTGTACGTGTCTTGATGCCGCGGCAACCATGGCATTATGAGATCGTGATATCCAGAGTAGTGACTTAATAGAGTAGTGAACCAGTCCATACAGCACTGCATATAGGGAACTGTTAGAACCCTAGAGATAACATTAAATAAAGAAATACGAAAATGAAGAGTCAGACCAACCCTAAATATATCCTCTAAAATAAAAGAGTGCCCCTTCTTTATCGCCGCCACAATGAAATATGCACCGTTTCAAACTCTCTACATACCATATTGATCGGCATCAGCACCAAAATCTCATGCAGATCCTCATAATCTGATTGGATAGCTGTATGATATTCACAGAACCCCACACGCGACTATTTGCAACACATTATTATAAAATGTTGTATATACATTAGGATATCTTTGAGGTACCTAGCAGTAGATACCCAGCGGCAGTGTCCGGGCGATTTTTATGGACTAGCAATGTAAATTGAATTCCTTACATTCAAACTCCATTCACGCAACATAAACACTCCATTCCTCGCCATTCAACTTAAACCTCCCCATGCCCCCCTATCTCAGCTTAAAGCCCCCATCCTCACCAGCCTCAGAATGCAAACCCTCATCCTGGACATCCCAAAACCCCCAAACCCTACTACACCCACAACGCACCCACCCAACAATGGACCCTGATCCAAACAACCCTCAATTATGCATCAACATGGTCACTATCACCACCCCTCAAATCCCTTACCCTAACAACCTGGAACATCCACTTCCAACAACCTGCCAAACAACAACGCACCCAAGTCGCCTTCACCTATCTCTTCAAACGCCTATCACTCCCCAAATATAACACCAAAGGTATCAATCACAACAGTAACACTGGCAAGAACCTAATAAACATAACCTTCTTCCAAGGAATGGTCCCCAACGATCTACTCCTTATCCGACAGACAAAATAAGAGACAAAATGGATCCAGGACCATTTCTTCATCACAGGTCATGTATCGAATACGCATTGGCGATGAGGCGGCTACGTGACGACGGCATTAATCGATAAACGGTACGATGTACACACCACTTATGGGAATACTCGGCTTTACAATAGGCATCTTGAGAGTCTGCGTTCTGACCCACCGATTTGGCCGAGGCAGCTTCGGCTTGCGGCACGGTTTATGCGTGGGTCTGGGTTTGAGGCTGATTCAGGGGAGAATGGGAAAACGAGAATGAGAACGGGCTGCCGAGTCCGTCGGCGGCGGTCTTAACAGGGAATCTTAATGGATTTACCCCTGAGGATCTTGTCGCGCCGGTTGTGTGTGGGTTGAGCGATGCCTTCTTGGTTCTGGGCGAGGATGATGGGACGGAGAGAGTATTACGTGGGGACAACAGATTCCGAACAGGAAGAGGGAAAAGTTTGGATATTCGCGCATGGATAAAGTTCTATTCTGTGGTGGGCTGGAGGTGAATCAGTTGGAGAGGATTGAGGCAGGGAAATGGCTTGGGTTGAGCATCCCAAAACGGAGTGATACTAGGAGTGGCAGTGAAGAAGGGGAGGAGATGTGGATTACAGATCATTTGGGATTATCTGCCAAGTTTAGGCTTACGGGATCGGACGGAGATGATGTTCGCTGGACTTGAGCAACTGTGTCTCAATAAATTATTTCATTTATTACTATTTCCTTCTTATCTCTTGTTGTATCTTCGATATTCCACTCCTTCTTTTGGTCAACAGCCTGTTGTCGAGACTGTTGCTGAAAACTCCTGTTAGAATAACCACCGAGATGCTCATGATTTACAATGCTTCAGAATGAATCAGGGGGAGTGATGGTGGCATAATCAGAAAGAACCCCCGGTGTGCAAATGAACAAATTATAAGTCGTAGATCTCTCCATTTCAGTGAAGCGAAAATTTCCCGAATTGCAAACAATGATAATGGACCTAAGGTCAATCACTCAGAGATCCCGGGAGTCGAGCTTTTACCGTTGCTGAGTTCCGGTCCAATCCGAGTCCGGGATAACGCCTCGCCCGTGGCAGAGAGTGCATTCAACAGGTCACCTAGCAATCGGTCCATTTCAGCCGTTACATCGCTCTCGTCTGCCCCTTCATGCATCACTTCGAGCCGGGGAGGCACAAGATCAGGGAACCGAATAGGCTCCATTTCATGGATACTAGTCGTAGGTGGATCGCGTCTTGCGGTGGCCAACGGTTCAGAGATGGGAGAATCATCTCTTCTCGTAAAAGGAGGGTTGGGGTCCAGCTCCTTCGTTGGGATAGCAGTCGGAAATGGCTCGGACTGCAGAGCCGAATCGGATACGTCAGAATTATCCTGCCAAGGGGGGTGACTCTCCTCCTCGTCTGGTCCCGGACCATCCAACACTACAGATGACTGGTCATACTCCTTGTCCCCACTGGACTCTAGGATTTCTGGGTATTCGTCTTTGAAGAGTTGCTGCGGCTGGGAAGCGCCACCGGGTGGAGTGGAAGGCCGGTCGAATCGGAAAGGGTCATAGTCAGTATCCGAGCTTGTAGACACACTAGACCGAGAGTGTAAAGATGCTGACGTGGATGGTCGAGAATCACCAGGCTCCCCAATACTAGTAGGTCGGATCGTTGCGGCAGACTCAAGGTCTATCAGGGGTGCCCTTAGAGTATCATAACGGCTGTTATCCATATCATTCTCGCGGCTCTCTTGGTCTTCACCTGCGGCAGCCGTCATGACGGGGAAGGTCCAGTCCATCGTTGCACGCCTTGCTGTAGGTTCAGGCTCCACAGGTGCCAGCTCCTGGGGTACCGATTCCTGAGAGGTTTCGGGTTTGGGTTCCTCCTCTTGGGGGGCTTGCATGAAAACCGGGAACTTCCAATCCATCGTAGGAGGCCGTGGGCCACTCGGAGGTTGATAAGTCAAATCTTGTGATTCACGATTACTGACATCACTGCTCGATGAGCGGGAACGACTGTCACTAGGGTTGCGGAATTGTCGACCACTAGATCTATTTGCCTTGATAGTATCCGCATCCGCGAGTTGGAATGGCTGCGCCGACGAAGCCCCAGCCGCATAGTGCGATGAATCAAATGAACCGATGTCAATATCAATGAATGTTGAAGTGACCGAAGAGCGATCAGTTTCAGTGCGAAGAGGTAGGTCCGAGATTGGTTGCTTCTCCTCAAACGGGACAAAATCATTCTTCGTCTCGTACTTATAACTTGGCTTTTCTTCATTGAAGAGGCCCTCCATAGCCTCAGCACCTCGTCGGACGCGCTCATCAAAATTGACTTTGTCTTCCTTTGTCATCACCGTCTCAGCCGGTTCGTCAAAAGATTTTCGGGCAGGTTGCACCTCAATTTCATCCTCCATTTCAGCCAAAGACGCAGCTATCTGGTCGAGATCAATGACGGAGAACCTGCGCTCAAACCCATCTGTGGTACTGAAATTCCAGTCACTATCAGAATCCATAGTCGTGCCGGGCATCTCTGCGGCCGCCGCACCTCCAGGGTGGAATAATGAGATTCGCTGCCCTCCCCTCTGCGACCACTGATAATAAATCCGCACTAGCTCACTCAAGGACGATGTTGGATAGGTCGCCTCAGTGTCCGCAATGTACGCGTGCGATTGTACGTCTGCCATCGTTGGCCGAGTAGACGGGTTTGATTCCAACACACAAGACACGATATCCTTGAGACCATCACTATATTTTGCATTTTCCAATTTAGGTGCGATGCGGTTTAGCTGTCTTCCTATCTGCATTCGCTCTCGCAAGTTCGAATTAGGGGGGTTGCCCGTTGCAAATTCGAACAGCGTGCAACCATATGCCCATACATCGATCTGTTCCGGTTAGCTATGTATTATACTATGACGGACACTTAGAGATCGAACCTCGCTGCCATATTTATGCTCTTCACCACGGGCTGAGAACATTTCAGGTGGCATCCAATGGGGTGTGCCAATCCAGGTCGATCGTTTGTCTAACTGGGACTGCAAAACTCCAGCTACACCAAAGTCACAGATTTGCAACCGTCCTTCTTCGTGGATCAGAACATTGGCCGCTTCGCCAAGGTATTAGCACCTATTTGATTCTCTGCTACTCGAGGACGAATCCCACCTTTGATATCTCGATGAATGATACCTGCATCATGGATTGCACGCAAACCAGCAGCGAGTTCACGAGCTACAGGGATGAGGAACTTCTCATCCAATTGGTCACCCGTCGCTCTCATCTAAACTTATCAGCTTTGGAAGTAATACGCAGAATACTCTAAAGCGCAAAAGATATAAAAAAGCATAATGGGTTGAAGTGGGTAACAAGTGCAGACTCACCAATGTCCTAACACTCCCACCAGGGCAATACTCACAGACCAACCACAGCTGCGAGTGGATGGAGATGGCCTCAATAATTTCGTTGATGTTTTTAGCTCCCGCATCCTTAACCTGCTTCATGACCTTCGTCTCGTGAATGAAATCCTTTATGGACTCGTCCCTGAAATCCCGAACGGACTTGTAGTCCACTGAATCGATATCCATGACCTTGATGGCAACTACCTTTTGGGTAGGGAGTTGGTGGCCCTTGTACACGCGGCCATAGGCGCCTTTGCCAATAAGCTCCTCGAATTCATATGGTGGAGTATCGGTTTTCGCTCTGCGACACATCTCCTTGACCGCGGAGCCCTGCTCTCGTGCAAGCTTGATGGCCTCAGCTTTGTGCTTCGTGATGGCAGCCATGGCGGACGTCGGGTCCAAAAGTTTAGAGACACGGGTAGGATCCATGGTGGACTCTTCAAGTTTAGGGAAGACTGCCTTGTTTTCACTCAGCTCGCAGTACTTTAAGGGTTCCGGCGTCGGTGGGAGTAAAGAGTCTTGGCTTTTGACAGCTTGCTCTTCAGCGAGACCTCGAGAATTCAGTCTCTGAATCGGCGCTGTTGTATCGATGAGATCTTCGTGTGGGGGAAGAGAAAAGTAGTCGGTGGTGCAGGAAGTTTGAGGGAAAGGTGAGGGAAACTGCGAAGACTGCCAGATTGGTACTTCACTTTCGCCCGATCGGGAATACCACCTCTGCCCAACGTTGCCTATTCTTTTATGTAAAGGATCGCTCGCAGAACGCGGCTTTCGCTTCTTCAGGCGCGCTGGAGAAAAGGGATTCGAGAAATACGGAGTATGATACGGTGGTCTTTCACTGTAGGATAGGCAATACCTTTCCCAGAAATCGTCGGTGCCTTTGCTCTCAGACTTCTTTCTCCCGTGACTGAACAAACTCTTGATTGCTGATGTCAGGCTAAGAGACTTACTGGTCTTTCGCGATGCGCTCTTGAGTGGCTTTACGATAGGCGCGTGAAAGGTTTTCGGGCAGCGAGCATTTAATGCTTCGTTGGCAGCGATTGATTCACTCCAGGGAAGTTGGTCACAAGGAAAGGCTTCTCTTGACGAGAGATTGTTACTAGGTGCGAGATCAACCGGCTTTACGGACCTCTGCTCGAAGTCGTCCTGTGTCTCCTTCTCCTTGGGCGCATGTAGGCCTCCGAAGCCACAGCGCGCCGAACGTTCTGGGTAGACTCTGGGTCTGCATTCATGCAAAAGTCAGTACACAACAGGTCATACCGGTCAGAAGATAGTCAAACCCGCAGGCGCTTTTTCGATCCTCAACAACCTTCGAACCAACCATCCTTGCGGTCTTCCGACCAAGGTCGGTACCGTGGGAAGAATAAACAGGAGTGTGGATGAGGAGACGCGCGCCTTAGATTCCAGGCTATATGGCGGGCAGTGAAGAAATAGGAAGGAGGGGAAATAGGAGGGAGAGAAAAACAAAACCAAAACACAGGAGAGAAGGTGAAAAAAAGCGAAAACATGCATACTGACCTGCGCTCTTAGTAAAATACCAATTCTTTCTAAGATGTAGAAGGATTGCTATGAGATGATCCCGAGCTCAATGCCACGCAGCATCTGCTCTAATACATCAACGACGGGTGAACGTCCAAAAGGGATTTTGGGACACGTCTACTTGATTTAATGAGGCTACCGAGGACCAGCGAGACACTCACTCCTTCCACAGCTGAAAAGCTCCTGTGGGGAGCCTGTTAATTGAGACGAGAATCTGTTGTCCAGATCAACAGAATGGAGATGCCAATGCTTTTATGGCAGGATTGGCACAGCAAGCGAAGATAATCCCAGCCGCGCTAAGGGCGGGCGCTAACGATTAGCGTGGAAAACAAAGATGCTGTTAAATTAATTCACTCTTGGTCACTCTTCTGGTTTGCAGTGTATTAACTTGAAGAGGCGATCCCTTCCAATCAACTGTTACGTGGAGAGAAAATATAATTCACACCAATTAGTAAGTACTTCACTCAATCGATCAAAGAACCCCAAGATATGATTCGCAGAATTCAGCAGGGTTGATATCAGATCAGTACTCGAGCACAGGGGCAATATTCAACGACTAAATAGTATCCCTAGTATTAGCATGGGAACATCGGGGACTAGTCTCAGCATCTATATTAAAACAGACAACTTGGAACCAAACTACAACTAGTAATGGTAAAACATGCATCATGTGGATAGGAAGAAAGTATTCCCAATATCCCCTCTCCCAATGGAACAGCTACCTTGCGCTGAAATGAACCCCAGATATGCAAGAAAACAGGCCCATTGACCAAGCATAGACAATAATCAAAAGCGCGGTGGAAAACATTGCCAAAAATTTCCCAGCAGACTTACCAGACAATTGATCAGGAGTACAGTGTACCCCCAAAGCTTAGTAACTACTGTTTTATTCCATGTCCAACGTACGTGCTCAAAGGGATGAGAATAGAAAGGACAAAGGAGAAGAAGCTCAATTTAATGAAATCATACCAAGAGTATTGAAGGACCAAAATGAAACATTATGGCAGGACCACCATCCGAAAATATCGATCAATGGTTGGATCTCTGACACAGAAGGAAATCTGGAGGATTGGGTCAGGAAACGTTCCATTAAAGTTCCAGATGTATCACGTTACTGCCGATCTCCGGCGGAACATTATTTTCGCCGTGTCTCTTCCTTTCATAGCGATCTACAATCCACAGTTGGTAGTTTCACGGCTCGTAATCTCGGGCCCGCACTCCAAATATTCCGTGGCTCTCTCGGTAGGGATTTCATCCGGAAAGGATAGCAAAATATGCTCATTACTGCTATCGATCTTTTTAAATTATTGGGCAACACAATCAGCGACATATAAATATGTATTGCGCAGCAATTACTATCTACAATTCCTCTATATAATTTTCATGACAGACTAATGAGCGTATCTTGGACTGCTGATTTAGTTCAAGCCAAACTCTTGCCTCAACGTTGTGCCGAATCGAGAAATGGCTTCAGCAATATTGTCGGAGCTAGCGGCGGCAAATGTAGCGCGGAAGAACAGCTTTTCTTCGCTGGCGCCTTGGGCCTTGAACCAGCTACCACGGGAGATCAGAACACCGTTGTTGACTGCAGCCTGGAAGACTTCCTCTTCAATAATTTCGCGCGTCTTGCCAGATGAAAGTCCAGGGTGTTTCCGCCAGTCGACTTCAACCCAGTGCTGTTCCCCATTAGTGATTTTGCCGTACAACGAGAGACCGTTGGGCGGTGGGAATAATTCAACTTACAAACATCCCCGCTGCAGGGGGGTTCCAATGGGCAATTTCGTGAGGGAGATACTTCTCACAGGCGTGCACTATAGAATCCCTACGAGCTGTGTATGACATACGCAGCTTGATCAGCCAGTCTAGGTATCCAGAGTGACCCCAATGCTCATCCAACAGCTTGTAAAGCATCAGCTGCGAGACACCACTTGGGTTCTGAGAGGTAGTCTCGCATGTTCTGGTGAATCGTTCAATGATCTGCTCGGACCCAACAGCCCAGCCGGTCCGGGAACCAGGAGCAAGAACCTTGGAGAATGATTCCAGTCGTAGGACACGGCCATCTGAGTCAAGGCTCAGATAGGATGGGATAAGAGATTTGATGAACTCGTCGTGGTTGGCGGGCGGCGGAACAGGCTCACTATCCGCGCCAGTGTATGGCTGCATCTGCAGGAAGTAGTATGGTTCGTCTTCCACAATGTAAACATCGTGCTTCTGGGCGACCTTGTAGATTGCCTTGCGTCTCTCGATTTGCTGGGTAGCTCCGGTGGGATTTTGTCCTGTAGGGATAGTGTAAAGAACGAAAGGCTTTCGGGCACCCCGAGCGGCTTCATCCCAGTTGCTTAGGACTTCGTCCAGGGACTCGGGCAAGAGGCCCTCCTCGTCCATCCTAATAGGCGCAACTTTCAAACCCAGTGGGAGCGCGGCCTCTTGTGCGCTGGAGAAGGTATATTCTTCCATCATGATATAATCGCCTCGCTCGCAAAAGAGTCTGAGCGCCACGTCCCATCCAAAAGTACTACCGCAGTTCAGGCAACATTGCCAGTCCGAATACGGGGGGTTGTGAATAAGCTGTTCCTATTAGCGTTTTTCTGATATTTCGGATCACTCAATATACCTCAGTGTGTTCAGTAACAAATCTAAGCAGTTGGGGAGCACCCATGGCCTGGCCATAGTTAAGAGCAATCTCAAGATCTTCACAATATTAGTGCCAAGGGCCGGTTTTAAACAATAGTTGAGGGTTTACTAACCATACAGACCCTTCCCCTCACTAATATCGCTCTTTCCGGTGTGCAGAACAGTTCCGGATTCACGGGTAGCTTCGGGCGTGAATCCTGGTGGCGTTGGGACCTTGACATTGAGCTCTTCGAAAGGGAAATATTCCGGAGATGGCAGTCCACCGCCGAGGGAGATGAGGCCTAGCGCAGAACTGTTAGTAGGGGGTATAGGTTGCAAGTCCGCCAATTATTACCTGGGTTTTTCAAGTATTTTGCAGCACCCTTCAAAGTGGATACCTAGTAGCATGAAGCAATTTAGCCTCCACTCCAACCCGCTTCAGCACCTCCGTCGCACACACCTTCCGAGATTTGGCTTCTGTAGAGAGAATATCTAGGATCGATTAACCGCTGTTTCGTGCCGGAGAGAAATGTCGCTTCAGCGACGAGTAATCGAGCGACTTACGATCCCATCGTTTAGCCTTGGGCTTAGTATAACATGCCTATCGCGGATGCTTTGATCAGCTATTGTTCAAAACCTCAGCTGGCAAATTCTAGCACACAAGAGCTTACCTGGCTTTTGAACACATCACTACTCGTCGCAGGTGCAACACCGGTGGGCATTGGTGCGCTCTTGGCTCTCAGGGCAGGAATGCTCTCCACAGTCAAAGGGGCCGGGGCAGAGCCATTCACATTATCCAAAGCAGCCGGGGGACTCATTCTCTCTATTGTCTCTGATTGAGTAAATACAGTATGATAGAAACTAGCTCTAATTGACTGGCGTACTGGTTCACTTTGTTGAAGCTCAATATGTAAAATGATTGGAATGTAACGATTGTTGGGGAGAGCGGGTGTACAAGTAGGTATGAATCAGAGGGGGAGGAGAAAGATAATGGTCGCACACCGATAAGCGCCTTTTTGTCATCTCCGCTTGGAACGCCGAGCGGACCGGTTTCCGCTCACACGTATCCATTGCAAAACAGCGATAACGCCAAAATCCTTTTGGATTGTCTCACCCAGAGATGAGCTATATAATCTCCGCATTATTGCCATTATCCGGGTTTCTGTTATCTAATGGAGGGGGAGTTGCGAGGATCTGAATGGCTCGGCGGGATGCTTAATGCAACCTAAAAAGTCATCTGTAGGGCGCGGGCGTGGGCGCGGGGATTGATAAGTCAAGGTATGGTAATACGCTCTGTGGCACAATACACACCGGATTCCACCCGGACAGCCAAACCCCTCAGTCACCAGTGTACCGTTCTGTAATCCGGGTACAGTTCCGCGCGCATAGACCAGGTTATCGCCGGGATCGGATATCCATTCAATCTTGTTACTAATTCACCCTGTGTCACGAGAGCACGCCCCAAATACCTGACATATCCGGTGACACTTCTCAATTTATGGTTATCCACGGCTATTCTCAAAAGCCCCTTGCTGGTTTGTCTAGGATCCTTTGATTCTTGTTATTGATACAACCTATCTTGCGGATATATTTTGGTATGGTGTCTTTACCGTTTGCTGGCCAAGGGATATTGCATTCCATGATCTATTCAGGGGCTTACCCCGTGTACGGAGGCCTATAGCGGCCACTCCGCAACAACAGGATCTTATCAATTTCTGCCAGCAGAACTGATGATCATAGACTTGCTTAGTTTCACCACCAATTTGGCTACTAGTCCTAAGCACCACGTAGAGGTGCAAGTCTTGCTCAGGTGTCGTACACAAATCCTGTACGACTAGAGAGACAGGTGCTAGTACTGCTGATGATGTACAACAATGCTGGGACAAACAACCAGTATCCGGACGAGAAGGAGAAGATGTTAAATCAACTATTTCAGAAGATATTGTATCACAGACTATATATTCAGTTAATGTACGAAGTCGACTTGTTTCAGTACAATACTGTTATAGGACTGACTTACCGACAGCCCTATATCATGGAAGGCTCTGCCTGAGGTATCGCTGCCAAGCCTTTACCACACAAATTTTTCGTACAATATATTTCTCCTTGTTTAATAGGCACGCTTAGATCAGAACAATCTATTCCTCCCGTAACAAATACTTAGAAAGCCCTGAAAAAGAAAATATGTTAGTACACGTATAAGAGGATTAATACTGACTGCATGTTTCTGACGCAGTAAACCCTATTCTTAAAGACATGATTCAAGTATATGCTTGCTGAGCAGGAGGTTAAATGACTTTGTTAAAGATATGGTGTATAGCTGGTGTATAGCTAGCGCCTTAGCAAGCGTGTGGGGGTTTTAACCCCTGAGAATATCTTCTTCCTGTGTCTATTTAGGCAAGATATTGCTCAATTTATGTCTTGTCTCCTTTTAAATACCATCTTTCCCTGAAATCATAAGAGACTTCTTTAAATAATCTTGAATTGCAGTCACTGGCTCATTTCTTCGGTATAAAGCGGTAATCTCAGTCTTGTACGGCTCAAGATCAATTGTTGGACAAGGCATAGTCACGTACAAGGATCAAAAAAGTAAATAAGCGATTCTATAGCAATCTAATAAGGGAAGCGGTTGAGAAAACGGTAAATGGACACAACGAGGAGAACCGTTGTTGCGGAGTGGCCGCTATAGGCCTCCCGTACCCGCTCAGGGTTGGTAAGTGGCACCAATATATAAGTACTTAAATGCCTTGACATTCTAGTTCGAGAAGACCTGCGCCAATCCATGATGATTTGGCCAAACTATTAACACGTGAAGTATCTTCGCTTAAACTCCAGGATCTACACGTATGGAGCAATTCCTTCTGCTAGACTCAGCGTACTGTAGACTTAGCTTAGCCTGGAAACCACCCTGTCTATACGTGTTTATACCCCCTTGATAAACTTTCAAGATTGATATAATAGTCATAGTAGGAATTACACGTCAACGACAGGTCATTCGACCACAAGAAAGCAATAATATATAACAAACAACGACTTGACAAGCCAGTCTCAGGTTATAAAACAGAGCATTCGCCATGGAGATTCCTCCCTATTAATTCCCAGAACCTAACCACCGTTGTTGTAAAGATCGAGGTCATTCTCATCTAGTATCTACCATCTCCAATCATCAACACCACAAC